CCAGGTCTGGGGCACCCTGCTCGGTCCATTCATCAATTATGGCTTCATGCAATTGATTGTTGACCGGGAACGGCCTTACTTGATTGGCCAGCGGAGCTCAGAGGCGTGGGACGCTGTGCAAACCCGTACGTACTACTCTAACTCCATCATCTGGGGCATCCTGGGTCCTAAGGAGTTCTTCGGTGAACGCTACCCGTGGGTGTACTATTCTTTCCTCGTGGGTGCCGGGGCTGTCTTTGCTACCTGGCTTGTGCAGAAGTGGAAGCCCCGATGGAACCTGGAGCATTGGTTCAACCCTACGTTGATGTTCTACGGGGGCACGCTGTTTCCGATGTACCCGACTACCAACTTCTTCATGTCTTTCTTGGCCTGCATTCTATTCATGGGCATCCTTCCTCGGTATTTCCCTGTCTGGTGGAGAAAGTACAACTATTTGACAGGTGTTGGTCTGGATTGTGGAACGCAGCTGATGACTTTGGTATGTTGTCTTTGATGGCTTTCGTGGTGCTGTGCTAACTGACTACAGGTCTGCATCTTCATTATCAACCTGCCCAATCTGTCGTTCCCATCGTGGTGGGGCAATGATCCTAATGCGACTGATCGGTGCTTTCCTCCGGCCGATCTGCCTCCGTATGCACTGAACTGATGACTGTGACGTGTCAGCGTTGGTCCGATGATGAGTGAATGTTTGCTTACATGTGCGATATTTGCAACGTACGATTCGTATTTCTATCTGCGGGACTATGTCTGTTATCCACTCCTGTTCAGGAATCATGCCCCTTCCTTGTATATACGCACACCCCTTTGCAAGGTTATGATTTTTTGGAGAGCACTGTATATAGCACATGCACAATTACATGAGTATTCCCCTGCTTCCGAAACTTAAAGGGGCCATGGGAAGCTATTTTAAGCTTCACTCTGTGCCCGTTCATTGTGAGCAAGCTTCCGGGATGAGCAGAATAATACACTACACTGATGTTCGCAAGACCAGAGTCTAAGATCTGAGCCTGCTTTACTTGAGGTAGTACTGACGGGGTGATCGGGTAGTAATTTGCGACTAAATCTGTCTCTAGTCTGTGGGGGTTTCGATGCCCTCCACATACTATGTTGGCAAGAAACCACGACCATCTCAAGCCAGAACGCGCACAATTAACAAGTCCCCAAAATTTAAACTCACAACAAAGTGCATATTATCAATTTAAATGTTATTGGGCCAGTTCCACAGCAAGAAGAATTCCAAGAGATACGGAACCCACTGGAGAGCATACCTACCCATGACGTAATCGTCAGGTCCATATATAAACATCAGCAGACCAGAGACAAATCAATCATAGAGTCAGACATCGAAGCATTGGACCTGTTCTATACTTCCTCAGCATCAGCATGAAAATCGTCCTGCTCGGCTCAACCGGCCAAATCGGCCAATCCATCCTCCGCGCCCTCCTCACCAAGACCTCCCACCAAGTCGTGCAACTAATTGCTCCGCAGTCCGAATCCACTGCCCGCTCTATAAACAAGAAATTTACAGCAGAGCAACAAGGCCGTCTGACCACAGAATCAGTGGACCTCCTATCCTGCAGTGCAGACGACCTCGTCCCGTATCTCGCCAATGTCGAGATCATCATCAGCGCCTTGAACGGCAAAGCGCTGCAAGCACAATCCAAACTTCAAGATGCCGGTGCAAAGACAGGGGTTAGGAGATTCTACCCTAGTGAATATGGCATGCATCATGTCTATCGACCGCCGGGAGATGAAGTTGGGTATCTTCATCCGGTAATTCCACACTAGATGTATCAATATAGGCACCAGATACTAATAATGTGATTGCAGATGTGGACCACCAAATCCGCCGCCAACGAAGCCTGTCTACACCACCCCGCCATAAAATCGGGCTCTATGACATACACCCTCATTGGCTGCGGCGACTTTTACAACCAATCCCGCGAAGAGACCTGGTGTCCATGGACGAATCCCAAGGCATCTGAATACACGCTGCATATCCTCGGGGATGCGGATGCTACTATTGACTTTACGCACATCGACGATCTAGGGGATTTTATCGTCGAGACGATAAAGCATCCGGAGCGATCGGAGAACCGCACGCTGAACTTTGTGAGTGACCATATCTCGTATAATGAGATTGCGAGGTTATTGGAGAAGTACTCCGGACGGAAGGTCAACAAGACAGTGTATCCAATGAGCCTGATGGATGATGTATGGAAGGATAAGGAGAAGGTGCCGGCGGAAGTGAGAGGAAAAGGGGCGTTTCCGGATGATTTCTGGATTCTGGTCAAGGGGATGCAAGGGGCTGGGAGGTTTTGGAGACCACCGGGGGAGGTGCATAATGGGGAGTTTGAGATGGAGGGGAGGACTTTTGAGTGGTATTTGAGGGGTTTGTTTGGGGGAGAGTATGAGGTTTGATGGTTGGGTATGGAGACATGTGGTACATTGTATGGCTGCGATGTCTGTTCTAGAGCAGGCTTTACTTTCTGCAGGCTATATTGGTGATAGTGGCTAGCCCGAATAAGTCACCGGTTAATGTATGTACTTGAGTAGCTGCCATGTCCATCTTTGCCTGTTTCAGTGCGTCATCGTACGATCAAGCATTATGAAGCTTTCGGGGGAAAGTCGCTTAATGTGCGTGGCAATGACCCGAAGATGGTTCAACCTCAATCGCAGTATACTTCCAAAAACATATCAAGAGACAGTATATGATAGTAGTTTCTCTCGACTAAATAACGACAAAGTACGCCTACTATTACCCATCTAGTTACCAAATGATTGTGGTAATTGTCTCTCAACCCCGCAGTTCCACGTAAGTTCAGTCAAACATCACCACTACAGCCAATATAACTTGCATCAACCTGCAGCAACGCTATTCCCGATGCAACACGGAACATCAAGTCCGCTAACGTGCAATTGACAGTGCCACATCAATATCCTGCCATGCCTGCATTTCTCCCTAATAGCCTAGTTCGGATAGACCCAAGTCCCGGCACTATTGGCCTCGCCTGCAGATCTTACCCGGACCTGCAGGTGTATTATTGCTGGTTCCCCGCACGAGCAGCTCAGCTATATAGGTCATGTTCTCCTCACTCTTTTCGTTCACCGTCACTGCTCATCTGTCTAAATATCCATTGAAAGCACTTGAGAAAAGATGCGGTGGCTTCTCACCTCGTCCGCACTGTTAGTGCCGGCCGCAGCCCTGGTTCGACCCGATGGCGTGGTATGTTGCCTGCATTCCTCCAAATTCAATCTCTCGACTAACAAGAAGATCGTTGATTGTAGGGCCGCACTCCTGCCCTTGGCTGGAACTCTTGGAACGCATACAGCTGCGACATTGATGCCGACAAAATCGTGACTGCCGCCAACGAGGTGGTCAATCTGGGGTTGAAGGACCTGGGATATGAGTATATCAACAGTATGCCTTCTCTCTTTCACAACAATCAAACCACATTGCTAATTGGAATAGTCGACGACTGCTGGTCCGTCAAATCCGGCCGCAACACCACCACCAAACGCATCATCCCCGACCCAGACAAATTCCCCAATGGCATCTCCGGCGTCGCAGACCAGGTGCACGCTTTGGGATTGAAGCTGGGAATCTACAGCAGTCAGTACCTACCCCAACATCCCCCACCCCTAAGCAATCAGCACACTAACCAAAGTAATATGAAGGCGCCGGCCTCACCACCTGCGCCGGCTACCCCGCCAGTCTAGGCTACGAAGAAATCGACGCGCAATCCTTTGCCGAATGGGGGATTGACTGTATGCCTCCCACAAGTCCCCAATACCCTCTAACCCAAGCGTGCTAACGAAAGTATAGACCTAAAATACGACAACTGCGGCGTCCCCACCAACCTCACAGACCAATACACCTACTGCGTCCCCGACAGCACCGACGGCTCCAACTACCCCAACGGCACCTGCGTGAACCTCACGGACGCCGCACCCCAGGGGTACGACTGGGCCACCTCCACCACGGCGAAGCGGTACCAGCGCATGCGCGATGCCCTGCTCAGTGTGAACAGGACGATCCTGTACTCGCTATGTGACTGGGGCCAGGCGGATGTTAATGCCTGGGGAAATGCAACGGGAAATAGTTGGCGCATGTCAGGGGATATCACGGGTATGCTCCCTATGTCCCCTTCAACCACAAAGATCCCATGAAAAAAGTATCTTGAGGATGATACTAATAAAAAGTACATCAATACAGCAACCTGGTCCCGCATCGCCGAAATCGCCAACGAAAACAGCTTCCTCATGAACTACGCCAACTTCTGGGGCTATCCGGACCCAGACATGCTGGAAGTGGGCAATGGGAATCTGACACTTCCCGAGAATAGAGCGCATTTTGCCCTTTGGGCGATGATGAAGGCGCCGTTGATTATTGGGACGCCTGTATGTCCTCTTCCCTTATCCCTCCCCCACCTTATAACTATTCCCCCCTTTCCTGCAATGACGACGTGCTAATATCAATGGGGGATGTAGTTGGATTCAATCGATACCTCCCACCTCACTATCCTCTCCAACAAACCCCTGCTCACCTTCCACCAAGACGCTGTGATCGGTCGTCCTGCGTACCCGTATAAATGGGGATATAATCCCGATTGGACGTTTGATCCGGAGCATCCGGCGGAGTATTGGTCTGGGCCGACTTCTTCTGGGGAGGTGTTTGTGTTGATGTTGAATTCGGAGGGGGAGGTCAAGACTCGCTCGGCGGTTTGGGAGGAGGTGCCTGAGTTGAAGGACAGAGGTACGAAGAAGAATTCGAAGGAGAAGAAGGGGTTTAAGGTGACGGATGCGTGGACGGGCAAGGACCTGGGGTGTGTCAAGGATAAGTATGAGGTTAAGTTGCAGGCGCATGATGTCGCGGTTTTGGTGGTGGGAGGGCAATGTTAGGAAAAAGACTTTTTCTCTTCTTTCTGGTATTGAGGTTGGGATGGTAGTAGTTACTAGCAATGGAAATGAAGGTATGAATGTCATTATCATTATATTGCTCCAATCGCTATGCTGCTACCTCCACAAATCTTGTCGGCTCTCTCGTCGCCATCCCCCGCTGCTCTTCGGTCGTCCGTCGTCCACTGGCACTGCCAGGAACCCTCCAAACCCATTGCCCACTAGCACGCTCTTGCGTGCGTCTCCGCCCCACGACCGGCTGAGCTGCGCGTCGTGGAAGCTCACCGGTCGTGTTGTGCTATCGCGCCGCCCTCGTGTTGAAGGCGGCTCGTACGGCGTAAAGTTCCATTCTAGCTCGTCTAACCCCTTGCTGTACACGTTCAGCGGCTGTGAGATTCCTCCGCTGAAGAACTGCGGTCCGCTCTCGCCACCGCCGAATAGTCGCGGTGGTGGTGCCAGCAGCAGTGTCTCTGGGAAGCTGGCGTCGCGGACGTACAGGTCACGCAGTCCTGGCAGGCAGTTCGACATGAGCGAAGAGATCAGGTACGTGTAGTAGGACGCTGCTACTGGCGGCAGACCGTACGACCCCGCCGGCGAGGTGATTTCGAAGTGTAGGAGTTGCAGCGACCGGGAGGACAGCGGCGGCACCCGGTCGGCCGGGAAGGACCGCGTCACGTCCTGAATGACTGACAGGGCGTGTAGCTGCGGCGCAGCGGATAGGATCTGGTGCAGAGTGGATGAGAGCACTCCTGTCGCAGACAGTGTCAAATACTGTAGCACCTTACGGTTCAAAGGCAGGGAGAGAACGCCGGCAAGCCCGCTTGCTGTGACGTTCGGGGTATCGCGAAGGGTCAGCCGCTGGACGGCTGGGAAAGGAGGCAGGGTGTCGGAGAGGTCAAATGCCGAGTCGTCCAGCCACGGCAGGTCGTCGAGGGTCAGATCGCGAAGCTTGGGAAACGAGCCCAGCCCCATGCGAAGAAGCCGCGGCTCAATGTGCAATCGAGAGAGTTCCAGCACCTCCAGATTCTGCCAAAGACGGGCTTCTGGCAGCTGCGAGAAGCTACCCTCCGCGCCGTGTCGGTAGGTCATGCGACGCAAATCCGGACACCGTCCGATAAGCTCCTGCTTCAAGGCCAGACACGACGCGTCGTCGCTGTATATTCCCGCCGGCAGGTCAACGTAGCGTATGTTGGGCGTCACGGAGATGGTGCGCGCAATCTCCGCCTTGCTGGCCTCGCGTGTCATGAATGGCATCCGTAGGGAGAGCACCATGCGCCCCAGGTCTCGCGAATCTCGGACAGTCTGCATGAACAACTGCAATCGTACTTGTGGGGCATCGATAGCTTCGCCGTTGCGGTCGAAGAAGGAATGGCGTTTTCGTTTGGCGGCAAGTTGGACCTCGAGCTCGCAGTAGTGGACGGCGTCGATGCGGACGTGAGCGTATCTAGGGTCATCGATCAGCAGGGAAAGAGGAATTATGAACAAAAGAAACTCACAGCAAAGCCCGAGCCTCTAAGTACCACCGTTTACAGACCACAGCACAATGTGCCAGGTCGCGCATATCACAGAGCATGCAGCCATCCTCTGTCATCGATTCCTCTGAGGTGTCATAGCTCGAATCGATGGTGTGCGGACATACATAGGTGAAGATGCGCGCCAGTAGCGGTCGGGGAAGCCTCTTCGTGATGTCGAGGCCGGAGGTGTGGTGGGAGTCAACGCAGAGGTGGTCGTAGGAGGTGGCCACATTCCCCGCGCGGCTATGGCTCTTGGACCGCCTGCGAAGCCGGCTCAGTAAACCCATGGTGGTGAGCAGACAAGCGGCATGGACGGTTGCAACGGACTGGAGGGAACGAGGAGCGAACTTAAAGGAGGATAAAGCGGTGGAACAAAGAGACCGTTAGGGGCCAGGAGAAGGCAGCGTGGGAAGGATGCAAAGGCGAGTGAATAATCAACAGCGCGGTGGTGATTGGTGTCGGGAAAGCTGTGTGATGTGAAGTCGCTGCATGAACCCGCAGTTCGTTCCCCATTCCAGCGCGTCGCTGGTCAAAGCCGAGGCCGAGCACCGTTTTGAAACGCTTGATTGGCAATTGGCGCAGGTCTCATCACACCAGCAAGCGAGATGAGGGGAGACATGTCCCCCAGTTGGTCCAGATAGGGGGGGCAGGCGGGTGTTTCATGTTTGCCTCAGGGACTGCCTGGTGGTTGGCAGATTGCCCCAGAGGGTCTCGGCGGAAATTGAACCCCGTTCAACTACCGACGCCAGTGGCTGCAGCAGGGCTGAAGTGAACCACATCATGGTTGGAAAGGGTTGGAGTGTCTTTCAGTTCAGTGTAGACTCAGACCTAGACTTAGACTCAAAACTCATATTGGAAAGGCGATTCTCGCGCGGTCCTCGACGCGTGACCCCAAAGAGTTGCCACTAACCCGATGGGGTCTTCAGCAATCCTCCTTCATCAACTGTCTATACTCTATAGACGATCACAACTAATAGTACCACTGCCACACAATGTTAACGGAGAAGTGCATCATAATTCAAATTAAGCTTATCCAGAACAGTCTCTGATCCATCGCCGTCTTCTGGCCACCCACGAAACAGGGCCCGTCAACTACATCGCCATGACATCATGTCCAACAACCAGCCCTCAGGAGAATAAATAGACATCATGCAGCAACCAAACCGATTCACCTGGTACACTGCCAGGTTAGACCATCTCTAATGTGTATAGTTTCCACTGGTTATGCAACTCAGACTCTTCCTCTGCCACACCAGACCCCTGCCACTCCGAACGCCACCCTCCCTCGTCAACCGCATTAGCTTCATTCATTTCCAGCCCACGGCAGCTAAAATGGCAAACAAGTCTCAATACGGAGGCGATCCTTTCCCCGATGTGGGCGCTACCTATCCATCTCAGAACAACCATTCCAAATCCGACGAAGACGACTGGAAAAAGCGTCCTCCCTACAGCATTCGCTCCCCTGAGGAATTCGGGCCTGTCAAATGGCGTGGGAAATGCCAGTGCGGCCAGGTGACTTATCAATTAAGCCGGGACCGACCATTGAAGGCTAAATTCTGCCACTGTCGGGGCTGTCAAGTGACGCATGGTATGTCTGCCGTGCCGTGTTGGTTACTTACGAGGTAGTCTACCAGGGGGTTGAAACATGCTGACTGTGTAGGCGCGCCGTTCCAATGGGCGGCCATCTTTCAAAAATCGGATCTCACTTTTACGAAGGGGGCTGAAGGCTTGTCGTTCTATTCCTCCACGAATGGTACCCAGGAGTATAAGCTTCCCACTAAGGTGTATTGTTCCTTCTGTCGGACTCCTATCATGGATGAGGGACGGAATGTCTGCTTGATGTTTCCGCAGGCCATTGAGAGTGCTGATCATGATGAACATCGGCAGCACTGGCGCGAAGCTTTTGAAATAGAGTAAGTAGCCCGTGGAGTGCCGACAGAGATTGCATGATGCTTATGAAGTCGTGTAGTTGCCATATTTTCTACGGCAAGCGAGTCCTGGATATTCCAGATGGGAAGCCCAAGTGGTCGGGAATTGATGAGCAAAGCGATCTTTTGGATGATGAAGGCCGGAAGAAGGAATGACTGGATGGAATACATCGTAGTTCCCGGAGCCGGTTGTAGATATACACGCGGTTTTGTATTTTTAGCTGTCACGAAGTACGAGCAATGATTTAGGTTCAGCCTTACCATAAGTCACCGGGCAGATGATACTACCATCGGGCCAATAAAATCGACTATATTAAGAATGTGTTCCTAAGTCCCCGTCTGGCTCTAAACCAGGGTGATCGACAGGGCTAGAGAACACCAAGCAGTCATCACTGAGCATGTGAGAGCCGGGAAACTGGCAACCATCCAGCTGCAGCGACCACGAGGTGCAGCTATGCCTTCGGACTGGCCAGCAGCTGACAACTTCTAATTTAATCCAGTGCATATCCCTGACAATCGGTCACTCCGGGTTGTCAAGTCGGCACCAGGTTCATCCGCGAGACCTGGAGTACAGGGGGATTCAGCCAGCCAGCCGTGGCAGGTGGCCTCGCAAAAATAGAATATAATATGCCGCGGTGCCTTTATAGATGATCTCCACAGTAAGCCTGTTTGCCGGAAAAGAAGTGCGCAATGTGGCTAAAAAGCAAATACATCGTGGTGGCTCTTCTTGCCGCACCGGCGGCAGCCGTCACACCGATATCCAACGATGAAATGACCAACTTCCTCAGCCAAGGCGCTGTAGAGCTCGCTACCCGGTATGCGCCTCTCTGGTTCTTTGGCCAGGCAGTGGATCAGCCTCCTTGTTATCCGACCTGGGCTTTCGGAGGCTCACCCAACTCGTCGGACATATACGACGCGGCTCACAAAACACCCGCCGCACCGCAGTGCGAGTATCCAGACGTGGGCTGTGGGTGTCGCAAACCTGGAATAGCGACAGGGAACCCCGGACCCGCATTCCCCATCTACTACACGTTTAAGCAGTGCAATGAGACCGAAGTTCGGGTGGTGTACAACCTGTTCTATGAGAAGGACGGAGCCGAGGTGCTGGACCTGATTGACACGGGCCATGACTAGTAAGATCACCGCGTAAACCAAATCAACATCTTTGAACAGACAGACTGATGCGCTCGACCAGTGACTGGGAACGAGTCATCATCATCCATTCAAGAAATGCGAACAACACCTGGCAGCCCTCTCGTGCACTCCTTTCAGCCCATAGTGGCTACCATAATCTCGCCTGGAGCAGCATTCATAGCACTCTGACCACAGAGCAAATCAACGCCGGAGATGCTCGAAAGCCCGATGGAGTCAAGAACAATGACCACCCAAAGGTGTATGTGTCGTGGTCGAAGCATGCACATTTCGATACCATAGATACTACCTGGCTCGATCCGCTGAGCCAGTCACTCGATAATGCGTTTCGCAGCAACGACTGGTGGCACTTTGTCGACCCGAAGTACTATGTACGTATTAGCGTCCCCATTGTGATGTATAGTAGCTAACGCCCAGCGAGATCCGATCGGATAACTCGACCGCAGCTGGAAAAGCCTTCAACAGTACGGATTGGGGATCAGCGACGAGTAACCCGCCATATGTGCAGGAGAGTGTATGCTCTGTGCCGTAACGATATGGTGTACAATCTAAATGCTAGACATATAGCGTAGACAAGCCAATCGATGAAATAGATGGATGTGCTATAATGAGCCTGTAGTGTTGCAGCGATAAATAATCAACATCGCATCGGGAACCTGAAAATGACGTCGATGCGGTTCCCCACCAGAAATTCAATCCCTCACTTCAACAACATCACAACAACTTCATCAACAATTCCTTCCTCTTCCCACAAAATAACTGTAAGTCGTTTCCAATATGATACATACCACTTAGACCAACCCTCCCCCATCCACTACTCTCCCTCTCACCGAACACCCAAATAACCCCACCCACCACCAACCCCGCAACCACACCAGACCTCAAAATCACACACACAGAGAAAGCTAACAAACAGCCCCCAAACCCAGCAAACCAGTCCCAACACAATGTCCTGGTACCAAAAATCCTTCACTCTGCCTGCCCGCTCGCGCGGCAGCTACCTCATCACCGACCACGTCCTCGAGCAACTCCCCGAGATCAAGAACTACAAGGTCGGCATGCTGAACCTCTTCGTGCAACACACCAGCTGCGCGCTCTCCCTGAACGAGAACTGGGATGACGATGTGCGCGCCGATATGAGTGATGCGCTGGATCGCATCGCTCCTTATGATAAGAAGGGGAACCTGTATAGACATTCGGCTGAGGGGGAGGATGACATGCCGGTGCGTTTACCTGACTCTCATTTATTTTTCCAACTATAAGCTGGGAGAGGGATACTGATGGTGTTGGCAGGCTCATATCAAGTCAGCGTTGATTGGCGCTTCGGTTACGATTCCCATCTCCAATGGACGCTTGGCTACGGGTACGTGGCAGGGTATTTGGTACTTGGAGTTCAGGGCCATGAGACACTCCCGGAAGGTGGTTGCTACGATTCAAGGTGAGAAGGCTTGACTTAATGCTTGTGGTGGTAGAGGTGGTGGTGGTGAGGGAGTGCGGTTGTGATTGTGATGCGATTGTGTAGAGTATATGTGTCTGAGTGGTGTAGAGGATGGCGTACGTGTGGATATATCACAATATATCCTAGAATATGAAACATTCGATCTAACGACTTCATTGACCTGGTACATCTGTACAACAGCCGTATGGCTAAAGGATAAAAACAAAACATCGTCAACGCCTATAAAATCAATCTTTACCGCTGCTCGAATCCGCCCTCGGTCACGCGCTGGCTCTCGTTCACCTCGGCGGCGTCACCGGTAGGCTCGAGAGGGTAGCTGGTGGCGGGGAGGGACTTGAGGTAGGCACGGTGTTGCTCGTGGGCCTATACATTATTAGCACGTATCATGCACAACAGTGCCATGGCAAACATACGAAGGGAAGACCGCAGTAGCCGCAGGTAGCAATCTCGGGCTTGTCGGTGTTGATGAAGACCTTGGGGTGGCCCAGGGGACCGCCACCGCCGTCACAGCTGACGACGCGCTTTTTCGTCCAGCGGACGGGCTGTCTGTGGATGAGCTCAATGGCAGCCAAGGGTTGGGGCTAGGAGATGTCAGCGTAAAAGATCGTGTCTTATGTATCGATGTTGCCGTGATCAAGGTATTGCCGGTTCCACACAACCAATTGACCCGGAACTGAACGGGGAGGTTATTGGCAACGCACCTGCATCTCCATTATCGTCTGCTCGAAGCGAGGACCAACCATGGCCTTCTCCTTGGGCTGCTGGCTGGCAGCCCAGGTAGTAGCCCGGTTGGGAGCCTGGAGGTGACGGAGGCGCTCGCCCGCCTCGGGTTCCTCCCTCAGGGGAGCATCCCAGCCGCCCATGGCGTCAACGGGAGTAGCATTGGTGCCAGAGACATTCGGCTTAGCGGTAGGCGGGGTCGGGTCGTTGGCAGGGATGAAGTTCTCGGAGAGGCGAGGGACGGTGGTCGAGTAGCTGGCCCGGGCGGCGAATCGGGGGGTGAAGGTGGAAGAGAGGGTCGCGACCCGGCTGCGGAAGCAGGGCAACATGCTGGGCAATTGAGGTCCGGAAGGGGACGCGAGAGTAGCTGGCGGATGGAGCGGAGGTGAGGACGAGAGGACTCGGGTTGGAGAGAGATTGGATGAGGTTTCCAGTTTGCGGCAGCTGCTACGCTTGAGCGGCCGGCCAATCGGCGGCTCTCCTTCGGCTGATGCGGTGGGATTCTGCCGCCTGGGAATTTCGGCTTTGCAATCACGGCGATTCTGCTGGCTGTCGTTCTTCATTTCTGTATGGCCTCGACTTTTGCTTGTTTTTGACGGTTTTTTTGTTTTACATTTGCCTCTTCTACGCATCCATCATGCGGGGCTCTCCTAGCTCTGGCTCCAAGCCAGAGAAGACCATGTCTTCGCGGCTGCTGACCATGAAGGTATGTCTGCAACATCACAATTAATTTTCTTTTTCCGTTTCAAGAATAATATACTAATGTCGTAGTTTATGCAACGCGCTGCTGCCACAAATGCTGCCCGTGAAACATCTCAGCCCGCATCCACCGACGACTCCAAGGTTTCCACTCCCCCGAAACGACAGAGACTGTCTACCGGCCCAGCCGAAAGCCCCGTCGGCACCCCCAAGTCGGATCTCGAGGCGATTTCGGCTGCCCTTGCTGAGGAGGAGGAGAAACGGAAAGAAGCCCTTGCACGTCAGGCTCAAGACTCGGGTGACACAGAATGGGTGCTCGACTATGGTGTGGCGGAGCCAGTTGCTCAGTATGCGCCGCCGCCGTTCATTGTCGCGGATGGCTCGCTGGATGCGGACGACGATGACATAGCGGTCGGTGGCCGACAAGCATACGGAAACTTCAAACGAAAGAAGAAGACTGCGGTTCGTATTCTCACATGATACACTTTAACCATTTTTCTGACATTTCTCAGACTGGCGAAACCGAAGCCGAGTCCGACGATGACGATGTTGATGCAATGATAAAGAAAGAAAGCAACAAGCCACATCGCGTCAAATTGTCGCAACTTACAAGCATCTCCGGTGGAAGACATGCGACGATGGGCGACGATAAAAAACAGAAGAAGCGCAAACATAAATAAAGTACACTTGGACAACCGACATATCTGGAGACAAGTATTGTTCCGGGTCTTGCTCGCCAGAAGATGAGATTCGACATTGCCTTACCAATAAGCCCCGTTATCCCTCGCTTGAGCATAATTATGAGTCTGGTAGGCCTCATATCTTCGGTCGTGGTAGCCCATCACGGGTGAATATGAAGACGGGTGGGCATCGGTACCACTCTTAGGCGCTGTGCCATACCATTGACTTCTGCCAGGATACTTGTCTTTTGATCTATCATAGTCGATGACTGCATTCGTTCTTGGTTCGACTCTGTCAGCAGTAGGGCCGTACAGGTATCTGGCAGAGTGCGTTGCTGACCTACGGACAGCAGGTTGGTCGTCTGTGTGATTGTATAAGGACATGTTATGCTGTTGGGTAGTCTCCCCTGGCTGACATTGAGCTTGACGATACTCTTCATCTCTTTCTTGGCGTTTCATGAGCTGTCTGCAAGATTCTTGGAGCTGCTCGTGTTTTCTGCGGCGCTCGAGCCAGGCCTCCTTGCCCAGCTCCAATAGCTCAGTCTTGGGAAACAGGTAAACTGCTTCGATCAGCCCGAGCACTTTTAGTACCTACATTACATACCGCGTTTCCGTGGATTGTCCCCAGTGTTATACTTCTGACGACGGGTCTGAAGGGTGGTATTATACTGTCTATCGCAGTGGATTGGCCGATATCCTTGCTGGTAGACGTTGGGAGGAAGCGATGAGCTATCTCCTCGTTGCTCTCGCCTGTGGCATAGCATAGGACCTCGCTCGTCAACTTCCACCCAGTATTCCATTTCATCGAGCCAGAAGCACATTCTTTAAGCGTATTCTAGATACGGGCTATAGTGCCTGATCTAGTCATTACTTGTCAGAATTCATCCAGAGATTCAATGCAACACATTCATACATACCTTCGCATATGATGCACTATCTTGTAAAGTTCTGTAGTCGACCTCTAAAACCAGATGTTCAGTCAATGGAACCCTGCCGTGCAGTGAGTAGAGGTGAAGGAGAATTCCGCCTCAGTGAAATTGACCATGATGCGAGCGTGGGACTGAACGCCGAGAACCAGCTATACCTCCCTAGGCAGTCACCAGCAGATGTTCCAGACGACGACTAATCAATCCAGCATGATAATATCATTAAGACAAACAATACAGCTTACATCCATCACCTGCACCTGCACACCAATTCACATCATCAACCCCTACAGCCATAGACATATCTACCTATACCTACAGCTTCGCCTTCACCTCCCTCTCCCTCTTCTCCCACCCTCTCTTCAACCAGAAATTGACCCCCAAATTCCACATCGCAACCGCAACACCCACCGGCGGCACCAACCACAACATCCAAGCCCACCACTGCGGCGTACTCTTCCTCACCAGCCTCATAGCCCTCTGCACCTCGCCCTCCAACTCCCCCTTATCCCCATCATTCCACACCACCACGCCCCTCGCCGACTTCACCCCGCGATACTCCGCCCTCTCCACCTTCCCCTTGACATCCCCCTGACTTCTCACTCGATTCTCCGCGTCCTCCGCCGAAAGATGCGCATCCCTCTTCCTCAACCTCTCCATCTGCACCTTCGGATCCGAAACCCCCACCACCATCACCGTCCCACATAGCAGATCCATCCCGCTCTCAAACAGCAGCGGCACATCCAGGACCACCGCCCAGTGACCGCGCACATAGTAGTATAGCAGCGCTTTGTAGACCTCGCGCCGTACAGCCGGGTGTACGATCTTGTTGAGGATGGCGCGGTCGCGCTTGCGGGCTTCAGTGGTGCCGAAGACGCGACGGCCTAGTGCTGGGCGGTTGAGGGGGCGGTTGCTGTCGCTATCGGATGTGCCATTGGGATTGGATGCTGGGAGGAGGAGATCTGGAGTTGTTGGGCCGAAGTAGTTCACGATGGCTTTATAGCCTGGGGTGCCGGGCTCGACGACTTTGCGGGCGATAAGGTCGGTGTCGATGATGGGGAGAGAGTAGGGCGCGGCGGAGAGGATGGAGGAGACGGTGGATTTGCCGGTCGCGATGGAGCCGGTGAGACCTATTATGAGCATTTTGGTTGATGTATGTGTCGTTGGTAAAATAGATGATACTTTGTGGGAGTAAGTGGGAGAGAGAGGAGATGAGTTGGAGAATTGATGGTGATCTGCGGGGAGAGCTGCAACTGGACCGAGGCCAAGATTACCCGCTGGAGTTAACTTTGATTCACAACAATTGTTTCTGGTCTGTTGTTGATGAACGTTCAGTGCGTCAGAATTATTTCGTGTCTAAGTAGTCTATCGTAAATATTATACAGGAAGATAATTTTTTCCTCTCGTTTCGTAATCCCAATCCCAATCCCAATCCCACGGCAGGGAGCCTCTCTACCTCCACGCTTGGGATATTGTACCTATCATTTCTCATTTTCCTCCCAGCCGATCTGCCGTCTGCCTCGCTTCATCATGAACACAACAGGTAATCGCGCGATATGAATAACAGCCGGAGGTAATTCGAATTTTTTTCTGGAAGGAAGTGAAGAGTTTCCGGTCCTTTTTTTCCCATCCTCAGGAGTCGGATTGTCCTGCTCCCGAACAGAGTTGAAGCGGTTTCTAGGTGACTGCAGTTTAGTGTTAGTATATTGCGCCCAAGTATATCTATCGAATCCATCTCACCTGGCCGCCCAATCAACCAACTGCAGTTCCGCACTTGTGGCAATTCTTGCCGGGGATGACCCAAACGTCAGTTCCCTCTGAAAGGCATTGGGGACACTTGATTCCAGGCATCTAGTAGTAGTATGTCATTAGCATCGGTCGCAAAGGCTAATCATACACTGTTCGCAACTCACGGGCATGGTGACGGCTTCACAGTAACGTCAACACAAGAAGAAATAAAGGGTATGAAGCTCTCAGCTGGAGGCTCAATTGTGATGTGAAGTAGAATAAATCGACGGAAGGGTATTCAAAGGATTATAGACTAGTCTCTTCGACAGAGTTCACCTTGTCTGGGACACGCTTTTTTTCCACTCCATGAACTTAATCTCGTCGGTCCCGAGCATCCCACCTATATATAGCCAAACTGGACTTGTTTGTGTGTCCCTCCCCCCCTCCTCCCCCCCATTACGCCTCCTGGGGCAGGCGACCTATGTTCCCATCGGGAGATCTTCACCTTAGTCTGGACCGATTGATTGGAGACACGACCTGGCCGGACTCAATGCATCCAAAGATCAATCATACATGGACCCTGGTTAGGCAACATGTCATGTCCGCCGCAGCAATTATTCGGATGACTCGGATCTTCCCGTTGATGACTTGCATCTGGGGGTCCCAGCTAAGGGGAACCTCATCCAGGGAGGGTTTCAGCTCTCCTTGCCTTTGTGTGATAGATACGTGTTGGGCTATACCGAAAATCGTCTAGGTGGGTGGGAAGTGAGTGATGCATGCCACAAGGGCTGAGATGTGAGCGATAAAGGAAAAAGGAAAGAGAGACGTGAACTATACCAGCAGAGCAGGGGGGGAGGGGGGTGGACAGGGAAAAGGTGACAGAGAAATTCCACCAAATCCCCGAAAGGACCACTCAGCATTTGAGATGCATACAACAGACCGTTTTATGCAAGCTACGACGGGGTCTCGGTAACCGGGCCCTTGCTGTATGTCCTATGGCTAAAAGAGCAAATGGATTATGACTGGTGTTGGGAGGGCGGGAGGATCAATCTCCATCGCAATCCCACCATCCTCCTTAAGCTAGAGGAGTCGTAGTGGGCTCTCAGCACAAAGATCAGCTCAAAATATTACCATATGATGCTAACAATGTATAGGTCACACTCAATCTAAATTGATGCTCGATGCGAGTACGCTACCGAGTTAGCGCCGGCTGCAGCCCGTCTCGCGCATATGGCGGGCTTCAGGACGCAATCCTCGATCTGCACAACCTTCGGCGTTCTCAACAGCCACATTGTATTCTACTATGCATATCCTGACCTTATGTGCTATGTCAGTCTAGCTCCAAACGGGCGTCTGCTAATTACTCATGCAAGAGTTTCGTCTTTGTGCATGGTGTCGTACTCTCAATCAGCCGCAAATTGTTGGCGAAGGAGTGAGAAAATTAAACATTCGAAGGAAAAAATGAAAATAAAACAAAATAGAATAAAAAAAAAAAAGGGAATTTCATCATTCACCACGGCTCAACCAATGACGTGATCAGAACCCCTACAGCCTACTAAGGAGGCTGTCCAGCTGAGATCTGATCAGTGACACTCTGGTCCACTTGGAGTCCGGCTGTACGAATCGCCCACTCTCCCATGTGAGTCTGAGGCTGTTCTACATGCCGATTTTTGGTAAGCCCATCTTGTGAAATGGAAACCTCATCCAGTTGGTAGTGGCATCTCGGCTCCTGCATATGAAGTCTTGTTGTTTCTTACTTTCTGTCTGCCTGTCCCCCTCTCCTCTGCTATCGGAGTAAGCACTACTAAGTAGTACGTACTGACGGGAGGGATGGAGTGCCGATGCGCCAATAATCAGGCCGGATCAGTCATTTCCACCACTCAATAACACCACTCAATTGTGGAACCCTGTCTTCTGCACAGATCTATACCGATGCTTGGGGTGGTCTATTCATAAGATGTACCAGCGCTGCAAATGCAACGTGCAAGGGCTACCCTGGGTACTTTGACTGCGCTTCTACTTTTACTTCTATGAGTCGTTTTTCATTTGCATGCGTGTTATGTATAGATTATTTTATTCTATTTTTATAGGTGCTCTATTTTCTGTTTGCCTGATTTTCGCGTTCGTTCTGTTCAAATCTACATCGGAGGTTTGAACACACCCCGACACAAGCGGCCGGTTTCAAGTCGACGATGGGACAGGTAAACGCACAACTCTATCACAGTTCGGTGGATTAACCATCGCCAGACGTTGATCAGTCTATCACTCAGGTCTTGGCCAGGAAGCTCAGACCGACTTACGGCCGGTGATTCGCAGGCAGGAATTGGATACATATAAGCTGTGGAGCCCCTGACCTCGCTTGATGGGCCGAAGCTCGATCCGAATTATGCGGATGGGAATGGCTGATTGGGCAAGGTTATTCTCCGCTGTTTGTCCTCCCCGTCGACCCTGTTTTTTTCGTTTTGAAGCAGCCATGCACCTGGCACAGTCAGACTAATTATTCCACCCCGGGGCCAGTTCATTCCACTCCTTTGCCTTCTTTCGGAGCTTCAAAGTGGCCCCGGACAAAGAGTATGAGTCTAGCGCCAAACTGCCGGTCACGCTAGACCGGTAGTCGCCCCCGAAAATCGTAAATGGACACCAAAAGCAGTGTGATATTCATCGAATGTGACATGTCACACTTAGTAGATACGGGGGAAGGAGAGACCCGCTCCTGTCAAACAACGATGGCTAATCTAAGGAAGATAGTATTATCTATCTATCTCTTTTTTTGGATAGGGATGCTATTTACGGGACTCTACCAGTGAAACTCTGTTCGATACTCTCTCCATCCACCTCCCCACCAACCAACCAGTTTCTCTATCCATCAATCTCCGCTCATTCCCATCTTCTCTTCCCCTTTCCCCTCCTCTTTGTTTGCTTGTCCCATTCCCGGATTCTATCCATCCATCAAGCAGGAGTCAGATTTGTCAAACCAATCTGTCCTGCCGCGCCATCATTCCAGACATTGCACAGTTAGGCTGCCATCGTTGGACTCGCATTGTGCTCACCGCAATTTTTTCCACCCCGATAACGCAGGTTAAATTGATGCATTATAGCCCAGCAAATTTCTTCACCGCGCGTATCCACTCCGACTTTGGTCCCCGATATCCCTCATGTTCAGTGTTCAGATTGATAAACTCTCGAGCCAATGCATCTTGCATACGGCGCCCTGGGTATGTACATACATATCACCAGAACCGCGCTTACTTTTTTTTCACAAAGGCGTGGGGCCCAGGTATGTGCATATGTAAGTCCGCCGCTTGCATGGGTCGGGCGGGCTCAAACCTTTGCCAGCTCGCCACAAGTCCAGGGTGGTCGGGGTTTTGCTCAACGACCTGCATTCTCCGACTGGTGATACCTGCACTGAGTCCCAGGTCCTCGCTGACCGAACCGGCTGGTCTGAACGACAACCATTGAACTGCCTCCCGAGTGAGGGAAGCTTTTCTGGCGCGCAATGTGATACTGTCATCATTACTAGTCGTGCACAGTGGCTTTATGATGCCATTGGATTCCGTCGCACAAGCCTTTCCACCGGTCTTTGAGGGATCTAAATCCCACCCACTTCATTGGATGGTCGCGCTGGCTACCTACCACGGGCGCATTACATTGCGAACCATTTCTCATTTCCAACCACTGCATGAAGTGGTTCCTGCTAGAAATTGCCTCATACTGGTACCCCTTGAAAACCGCCGTGGCCAGCACAGCACTATGGGTTTCCTGTAGCTTTCCACATGTGCAGACGCCATACATTCATGTACATTGATCATACAACCAAACGCGCGAATTTTTTTCTTTCTCATCCTCCCTGCCTCGGCTCCTGGCTTCCCTAGACCTGCTCGACTTGTTCGTCCGAAACCCCGGCGACAACACTGTCCTGCTTTTTCTCCAATTTCTCTGAATCTGCCTCGTCCGTGTGTCTTGTCAATCGCTGGCCTGGTACATGGCCGTGTTGCTTTCGCTGCTTCACAAGCTCTTTGGACATTTGCACGGCATTCTTCCCTGGGGTGGTGAACAAGTAGTCGATCTCCTCGAGCGTCAACTTAGCGGTTTCGGGGTAGCAGAAATAAATCAGTGGAACAAAGGCGAAGTTCAAGCACATGAAGATGAGGTATGCTTTCCACTGGAGGCGATTGATGATGATGGGCGTGATCATCACGACAAAGAAGTTCTTTCATGCTTGTCAGCAGTGAAAGAGCGAGAGATTACTAGAAACTTACCCAGATCCAGTTCGATGAAATACCGACGGCCGTCCCTTTGGCGCGCGCATGGAGGGGTAAGATCTCGGGGACGTAGCACCAGGGGATGCAGTTAACCGATGCGCCAAAGATGAGCATGTACACGAAGAAGAAGGCGACAGCAGCTGACGAAGTCGCATGCTCGTTGGCGTGACCCTTGAAACTGAGCAGGATGGACACCATCATCATGCAGATGCCCAAACCGAATGATCCCCAGATCATGGGAGCTCTGCGACCGACGCGATCCACAAAGAAGGTGGGGAATATACTTCCGACGACAAACATGATCTGGACGCAGCCGCCGAGAAGGTTGGAGAGATTCTTGTCCAGGCCGACATTGGTGTTAAGCACGGTGGGGATGTAGTATCTGGGTTTCTTAGCAAATCTCTTGCATTTCACCGGGGTAAGTTTTATGCCCAACATACACGACCATGTTGATACCACCCATCTGATTCATGAATTGCATGCCGTATGCAAGAAGACTGCGCGGTCGTTAGAACATGATTCGCGACAGATAAGACGTCAGACTTACACTCTATGACCCGTGGAAACTTCGTCCCTCTTGAAGACGTTTCTGATCTCGTCAGCATGCATCAAAATAGCGATCATATTGATGAGTACCCACCTCCACTTGTACTCTCCATATTTGGTCTCCACAGAAATAGCCTCGAGGATTTCCTCCTGCTCTGCCAGAATCTTCGGGTCGTCCTTTGGGCGCCCATACACATCACTCAAGATCTGCAGCGCCTCTTCATTGCGACCTTCCTTGTAGCAGTACCTGGGTGACTCGGGCAATCCGAACACCAGGACGATGACCACCTAGATATCTGCATTAGCCAGCCAATCCACCAAGTGTCCCAGGATAAATAGTAATATCCTTACAAAAGCGAAAATCATCTGGCACGCAATCGGCAATCTCCAGGCGATCTGACCACCAACATAGCTCATCCCGTAGTCGAAGAAATAGCTACCACCACAATTAGCCATCAACCTAAGTATCAAATGCCGAAGAAATCAAACCTAATCACAATCCCCACCCCCACCAACAACGGCTCACTACACACCAACTTCCCGCGCTTACTCGCCTCACACAACTCCGCCTGATACATCGGCACCGTCGACGTCTCCACGCCCGTCCCAATACCCGTCACGAATCGTCCGACCATGAGATGGGGGACTGAGAACGCGGAGCATTGGAGGGTTGCTCCGATCTACACCCACAGATATCTTATATTAGCGAATCATATCCTCCCCAGCTTTAAAAGAAGAGCGAAGGAAAACATACGATGACCCAAACCATAGCAAACCACATCGCCCTCCGCCGACCCAGCCAGTCCCCCAATAGGAAGTTAACTATGCAACCGGCGAAACACCCCAGATTGTAGATGGAGACTATGATCCCCTCCAGACTATCGTTGGGGTGGTTCATGGTATCCAGGAAGTCATCGTTCTCGACGATGCCGGAGAAGACGCCTTGGTCGTAGCCTGTGATTTTGTTAGTTTTAGCTGTTAGGGAGATGGGATGGCGTTGAGATTGATTTATGGATAAAGATGGGGGTGAATATACCGAAGAGAATAAACGCCATGCCACAAGCAGCCCATATAGCCGCTTGGAGGACGAAGCCAGTGCCGAAGAGGTTGAGTTTTGGCATCTTTCTTCTTCTCTCTTTTCTTCTTCTTTTCTTCTTATCTTTGATGTTGCATGTATTAAAGTTCTATTAGATTGGTTCACTTCGGGAATCAATTCTCTAGTCAGAAATGGGCACAATGCATCAACTATATATGTACAGTCTAGGTAGTACTAGTAATAGTAGCCTTAATGTGTGACATCGGACAAACCCCGTTAACTACTTGCCCAAAAACCACCCCATCTAGATCTCGGTAGTACCACCACCCCGAGATGGGCTTGCAAGATCGTCACTCTAAAAGACAACCCTCGTCATCGATCATGATGCGGATTTTTGGGTCAAGTTACCCAGAAAGGAAAGTCGTGGCAACGATTACCCCGGATTGCTGGGGCGCTAGACCGCTTTCGGCTGGGATGAGGAGGTCGGGTGCTGCCGTGCCGTCTTGGGGATGTTCTTTCTTTTTGGGTGGTTTCTTGGGTTGAGTTTGGGGTTGCCGAGGGTGGATTTGGGGGCATTGTAGACGTCATTCTGGTGGTCTGTGGGTGAGTGGATGGGTGGAAGTTGGGATGGGGTGATGAGGGCCGGGAGTGTGTTGGATGAAATAGTACGCGTTTTATAGGGGGTATATAGGTGGTAATGGAAGATTTTGTGATATACAGCTGCGCTGGCTCAAAATCTCTATGTCTAAGTAGTATCTGTGGAAACGTATAATGGGTTTTGGAATGTGAGGCCTTCAATTGAGCCTGGGTCAGTTGTGGACGGACTTGGTAGGTTGAGCCACCGTCCTTACTGTTGGAAGCTGGATATCTGCACGTGCTCAAGGCTTGTTTCTATATAGTATTTGGTGGTACTTCAAGCTTTTCTACTTTCTCATGGCGTACGTCTACTACGTTCGTTGTGTATATGCCATGGTATTGGAACATGCGTTGTTTTGCTCAGTCACCGAATCCGTCATGTTTTGGTGCGGATAGCAATCAATTGATTGTGGCGGATACTGTGTGCTGCAGAAGAATTCACCCAAAGTATCTCCAACGTCTTCAAATATAAGGGAAGTTAGTCACTGGCATTGCTTGTCGCTATATAGAAGACTTCGTGTCACTTTCATCTCCATCTTCAGGGTGCTACCCCGCATCCCGCTAAACCTGTTTTGGAGACCATGCGGAGCTGCGCTTCGGCTGTCGCTCTTCGCTTCTGCCGGTTCCTTTCTTCATAGTCTAATCGCCTCTTTGACAACCCTCTTGGGAATCAGGAGCGTCTTATTGCTTACATGGTTCTTGGTCTTGGAGCTCTCGCTAACCTGATGGAGACTGGGCCTCACCAGTAGTATCAAACTGGCTGGTTGACAGACTGTCCGCCTCAGTAAGTGAAAGTTAATACCTTCCATCTGCCTGTAAACAACTGCTTGCTCACGATGTTTGCACTCTAGTATTTATCGTCTCTGTTGTTCCCTATGCTTCAGCATCTTCGGCATGGACGAGACCACGTTCAGTGAACCACCCCGGAAACGTGCGCGAATCAGTTCTCTACAAGACCAACCTGATCCAGTAACTGCAGACAACGATTCAGAATCGCCAGCATGGGATCAACTGCAGAGTCCTTATCATCTGACAGACTACTACACGGATCAGCACAACTCACCGGCTTTAGCTATTAACAGTGACCCTTTCCAGTCGCCAGCAGCTAGCTGGACCCAGGATGGCTTCTCACAGGACCCAGGTTACCTAGCATCTCAGGAAGAGCTGCGATGCATACTCTTCTCCCTCGCCAATTCGACTGCTCCAACACGGGTGTCCAGTCCAGACACTGTGGGAAGGTTCGAAATAGCCGAACATTTACCACGCTCAAAAACACACCAGCCAGAACGAAGAGGAGAGCTCTTGCAATCTTCTCTGTCGAGCCGGAGGCGAATTGAATATCTGAAAAATTATGTGGCTGAGGTAGCACCTTGGGTATGTGTAAGATGTCTATTCTGACCCATGCGGAGACTAAATGATATTTAGCTGGACATGTTCGACTCTCAGTGCACCTTTCGCCAACAAGTGCCTGTGCTGGCTCGCTCCTTCCCTGCTCTCTCATATGCCATGCTTGCCATTTCTGCCCGTCAGATCGAACGCAAAAATGGGGTTCGAAATTGGTTTGATAGCCTCGAACTGTACCAAGAGGCCATCCGACGGCTAAGTCCACTTCTTCAACTACGTGACCCGAAGATCGTAGCGGCATGTGTGCTTCTCTGTTGCCTGGAAATGATGTCTGCTCGTGCCCAAGATTGGCGTCGCCATCTTGAAGGCTGCGCGGCCTTGTTTGATGCGTTTGGTATTCATGGCTTCAGCCAGGGCATTCTGCAGGCAGTGTTCTGGTGCTACGCTAGAATGGGTGAGTCTAGAGCTGCATTATATCCCTTTCTTTTATACATTGTGCCTTGTTACTGCATTATTTCAATTGATTCTGACTGAAGTAGATTTGTGCGGTGCGCTTATTTCAGATGGCACACAGACCACGCTTCTGCATCCCTCTAAATGGCTTCCGGAAGGCTATCGGACAGAGGACGCGCATCAGCTGTTCCAGAGTGTCAAGTCGCCAGATATGCATGCAAATTATGCGGTGTATTTGTGCGTGAAAGCGACCGAGCTGGTGTCCGACCGTACAAAGTTTGTGGAATTAGGTGAAGACAATGGGTGTACGCCAGAGAGGTTCCGCACACGATGGCTCAGTCTCTGGAATGACCTACAATGCTGGTTTTCCGAGCGTCCCAGCGAGCTTCTTCCAGTGCAGACAGTCAACCGCAAGCCCTTCCCTCATATCCTGTTCGTCCACTGGGCTGCTATCTCGTCAAACCAACTGTACCACACAGCATGCATACTATTGCTGAAGATGATGCCCAAGGAAATCCGGCTTCCCAGATCGCCAACTTTGTTTCCTCTATGGCATGCTCGCCGAATATGTGGCATTTCCCTGGCAAACCCACACCAAGGGTGCTTGAACAACTCTATCCAACCACTGTGGATTGCCGGACAACTATTCAGTCACGCCTCGGAGCATGAAGAGATTATCAGGCTGATTCAAAGCATCGAGGCCGAAACTGGCTGGGGAACATGTTGGCGGATTCGGGATCTGGAGGTTGCCTGGGGTTGTTCCGGAATGAGAGGAACATGAGCCTTCATGCTAGAAACCATCCAGGAATGACCAATCCTCTCGAAGTTGCGTCATATAATCACCCAAATCCCACCCCGTGATATTACGCACGCGTTCAAAGCCTTCCAAGATTTCCTGTTGCTGGGATTCATGTGTCATTCTTCTGGCAGCCACCAGGAATGAGGCTATCAGGCAGGGGTCCCAGGATTCCCGCCGGTCATTATTCAGTGCAATGCCACAGATACGCTGCGAATGCCACAGCGGCGACAGAGTTATTGATTGCAACCCTAATAGCGCTGTGCGTGGCTTACACTGCAGCAAAAGCAGCATGGCAGTATGATACAACTGATTGCTAAAGGCACCCGTCCCGTTTGCAAACAGTAGCAGCGGAAAGCCACTTTCGGCCCGGGAGAGTTGATCATCAATACCCAAATCCACCATCGGTTGGAATTCGTGTGGCCGCAGATGGTACCACTGCTCAATCGCGTCAAATACATCGAGCCAGCTATCCAGCTGCTGCTGTGGAGCTGCAAATTGGTCGGAGCTGGCCTGCTGGTGATATACTCGCAAAGCTTTTCCACATAGCCAGAGGAGGACGTGGGCATACGCTCGAGTCCTTTGCCGGACCTCCTCTATGCTCGACAAGATTAGTAAACTAGGTACTGGGAACATCGGAAGTTGTATCTGGATTGGTCTGTCGTTTGCGAGCGCTGCACTCAGGTCTGGTTCAGTCAGAATGGCGCATCCATATGTGGACGACTTGTGAAACGAACCTAAGCGGAAGAACATCCAGTAGATAGAGGATGCGATACCCGAATCCAGTGCTTGATGAGCCAATGACTCGAACTTCCGAGATTTGAAGTTCTGTACGTTCTTCCAGGTCTGAGCGATATCGGCGACAAGCCATCTTGTCTCTTCTAGCACCGTCGTCAAAGCATTTTCGACAGTGAACGTGGAGCTAGAGTTTGACCACAGTGGATTGGTGCACAGATCTGCATGGCTATAACGAGGCATTCGCCGATGCCTCATGTCCTTCTGGATAACGCAAGCATTGGAGAGATCCAGCAGAGCTGTCATGAGCGGTTCCGAGCTGAGTGCCATCTGAACAGCAGTGATTCCGAATGGATGACTGAGATCGCAAACATCAAGCTGCAAGCAATCCGTCAGACTTAAGCTCCACTATACTGCAGTATACTCACCCATGGTGCTACATGGTAGCGATAATGACATAAAAGCTTCAGCTTTGCCGTATCTGTCAATGAATTGGCACTTATGGTCGAAGGCAGCCCCTCGGAAGCACCCACTACACCAGGGGCGTGCTTCAGCACGACAGGAGTCCTAGGCACTAACTCCGACGAGACAAGTTCAGAACTCGTCTTCTCACATCCTTCATCTGGAGCACCCCTATGGTTATTGACACCATCGCCTGTCCCCAATGCAAGAAGCCCATGAACGGCAGATTTGTCCCTGTCGCTGAAGGCCGCATTGCCGAACAATGAAGTGGGCATGTCAGGAGAGCCATGCAGGCCATCACCATTATCAGCCTCAGAACTAAGTCTAGATGGAGCCATCACAGTCTCATCTCCTGAGGCCCTCGCGTAATCACTTAAACTATCATCATCTACAACATCACCCCCACCCACCGTTGGATCTTCATTCACAAACTAAAATAGTCACCTCGTCAGTGTATCATAGACGTGAAAACAATGATTTGTTCCACTAACCTTAACCCACCTCCACTGTCCCTTCCTCGAACGCTCTTGTCTTCGCACCACCTTCTCTCCGGTCCCTATCGACTTCGTATTCGTACTCGTGCACAGCCCCCCCTCCGCAACGGTGAAGGTATTCTTCGGTAAAAACGTCACCTGTACCCCATAGCGACAAACCAGATTCTTCTCGATACAGTTCCGACACCGGGGCTTCGTTTCATCGCCTATTCCATATTAACATCATCCACAATTCTCATCAACGGGTGTTGCCGTAAAGAAAACCATACACTTTCTCCTCCTAGTCCTACACCGCAAACACCCCGTCCGACAACGAGTGAACTTCGTAGGCCTGTCATCATGCGTTCGTTTCCCTGCTAACGCTTCCTTCTCATTGCCATTACCATTGCTGTTGCCTTTATCATTCTCATCAACAGAAGAAATAGAAATAGATGTATCCCCCATTATCCATCAACAATCATAACATACAATGAATAGAATAATAAGAGAGAGAGAGAGAGATAAGATAAGATCCAATATATCCTAAAAGATAACAAATGATGTGTTAGAAACAGCAAGAAATGATGATACCGATGGCCCGGGAACAGGAACCGCAAGCGCGGGGTAAACCTCAACTTCGCAGCGCGTAGAGTTGCCTATTTGGGGTTGGTGGGACTTTTTCCTTTTCTTACCCCGGATTTTCTTGGCCTGGGGATTTAAGGTTGGACTTGTGTTGTGTGTCGTGTGTCAGGGGTCTGAGGGTTATTTTGGACTGTAAGGAGGAATTGGTGTATATTTTCTGTGCTATGTACCGCTCTTGGTTTATTAAGGGTTGTTTTTGATGTCTGGATTGGAAGAGAAATGATTTATGTCACGATGAAGGTTCCTTGGTGTTTAGTCACCATGTCGAATGGAATAGGATTTCAGTCTAAAGTCTTGTCTCGGCTTGAATATCTAAATACACAGAAAGAAAAATACTGCCTCTAACTTTGGCTACACGTCGTGTAAACACTGCTAACACGCTCGAATATGAACGAAATGGGGTCTTCTCTCCATACCACTCATACGTGGTGCTTTTAGCTGTACGTCTTCGTGATATGTACGAGAAGAGCTCCCTCTGTCGGCGCCCCAGTACTGTCATTCAGGTGAATGATCCGATAACCTTCTTGCAGGCGATCCAGTCGAATGCACGCCCATGCGGCCAGCGCGTTGTGCATCCATTCGTTGTCCTTGATTTTGAACCTGTTTGCGTTTAGCAAATGCACCTACAGCTGGTGTTTTTTATTTACTGAGAGGGTGGCTCACCGAACAAATGTCAATTCATCGAGGAAGCCCGACACGGTCGCAAACTCCATCTTCTGTCCGCCGAAATCGGGGTTCACTCCGGTAACACTCTTCGTGCAATGCTTATATCCAGTCTTTTCGGATTCGGTGTCGTCATCTGCTGCTGCGAAACTGTCATCCGGAGTTTCCACGTGCAGGAGACAAGTTACAAAGGGGTAGAATTTGTTTTCGTTGGTGTGGCCCGGGGGCAGTGGGATGTTTTGGCCGGCAAGAAACTCAATGGTCAGATCCAGTCGACGAGGCTCAATGATTCCGGGCTGTGCATCGGAGCTGCGATATCCTGGGGGCTTGAGAACCCAACCTTGTTCCCCTGCGAACATTCCTGCATTGAGCATCATAGCTTTGTCGAAGTTTTGCCAGTTCAAAGCGACCATCTGAGCACCACGCCGCCAGAAGAAGGTCGGGTCCATGTTGGAGGAATCAACTCGCAAGCCATTGGGGTAGACGCGCATGAAGAAGTGCCGGTTGTGCTCAAACAACGCGTCTCCATCGGTGGCATGTGCTTCCCGCACGGCCTTCTCGGATAACGAGAACACATGGCTGGGGACTTTGGCCTCTGTTGTATTTGAGTCAGCGATGCAGTCCATCACTACTTAGAAAGTATCATTTGCATTATCACATACCTGGCTGTGCAAAGTTGCTAAAGTGGAACCCCTTCGTGAACACGGCCAGTTTACTGAGCGCCTGCAAGATCTTAGAGGGCTTGTGCGGAGCTGCAGTGGGAGACTCGGGAGACTCGAAACCCTTGGAAGCCTCGACCGAATTTGATGGATTTTTCTGTTGCTTCAAAGCTTCCATGTGCTGGGTATAAACTGCCTTCTCCTTTGCCTCACGGTCACCGCCTTCGTCGACGGATTCGACATGCTTCACCTTGATCAGGATCTTTCTCTTCAAGTCCGCTAGAGGCGGCGGCGGAACTGTCCCGGCTTCAAGTTCAGGAGTCACCTCAACCAACATCCCCTTCCATGCTTCTTCCATGATCTCAACCATTGTCTGCTGCTGTTCCAGGCAGGTATGAACTTCCAGACTAACAATGACTGGAAGGTCGCTTGCAACAAACGCGCTGTCTCGAATCGCATAGCAGACTTCGCGAAAGCTCGTCTCCCTAGTAAGCGTATGGCCATGCAACACTCGCGGTTCTGGTTTACCAGGAACCGGAATCGCGCTACCAGACGCCTTGCTTTCACCAGAGCTTCCGCTACTCGTGGATGGCTTGTGATGTCCGAGGAAGCCTTCCAATTTGCCAACCTCTTGGGAGAGGGCGCGCAGATGACGATGGTTCTCCGTCATCTTTTTCAATTTTTCCCTTTTAGACCCGCGACGGGGTTTACAGGAGCTGATCTTCTCATCATCGGAGCTCGGGTTGCTGCCGCTAGTGGCGCTGCTCTCGCCAGTTTCTTGGGAGCTTTCACCCTCCGCTTTTCCATCCCAAACGTCAATCTCGACGGATCTGCAGCCACTAAGTAGGACCTGAGAATATCAGCCGCTGTTAACACAAAGACATAGAAACTAGAAGAGTCATCGACGGGAGAGTTGAGTACAACAGCGCCATGAGACCTGAGCAAGCTTGTTGCAACATCTTCCTGCTTCCCACACATTCCAGTACCGATGAACAATCCCAGTCATACTGCACCACACCTCCAAGATGTCGACGCCTCCTCTAGTAAGTGGTGGCCAAAAAGGAACATACATTGGTATAAGCACTTGCTTTAGATTCACTGTACAGCTGGTTTCCGGTCAAGTACGTATTGTGACTAGTGGAGATGAAATAGTCCGTAATGGGCGCTGAGAGGTCCATCTGAGTAGCAGCTCGCATTGCAGAAGCTTCTGGGCTTGCCAAGTACTCGTAGAACGCAGCTAGGGTAGCCAGTGGAGCTGGGTGCTCTTTGGTGGTTGACCCCTGGCCCTTTGGTTCACGTTGGACATCAGTCAAGAAATTGGGCTGGTTCATCGAAGTCAACGAGCTGTAAATCTTGTCGATATAGTTGAGCATCGACGGTGCGAATGGTAGTGTTATCTTCTGCGCATTGGACAGTGAAGAGTCCATGGTGATGCGACTCGTTTGGGTAGTGAGTTCGTCCATGGTTCCCAAATAGTATGGTGTGTGCTTCACAGAACAAAATTGAGTGACAAGTATGGGTAGTTGAAATAGAAGACAGCAAGGATGTCTCGACTGGCCAAGTTACTTGCCGGTGAGGGGATGACGATTATGGAGGGGCCTGATGATCGACACCGGCTGTGACGCGGGTTCAGGGGGGATCGGAGAACAATTCCAGCTGTCCTCGGGATAGTAGTCTAGGCGTTGGGCACAGCCGGAAATGGGTGGAGAGGGAGTCTTAATATGGACGAATATGAAAGGTTTAGTCTCCGGATAAGTAGCAGCGATGATAAAGGATAACAAAATGGAAGAAAGAAAGATGGAGAAGGGAAGGAGAGGTGTTGTTTCGTTGTCCGCTGAGTTTTACCTGCTCCACATCCGCGTGGACACTTTGACGGGCTCGTTGGCGGTGACTGTAGCATCTGCAACACTTCATAGGCTGCTGCGCTGGTGGATAGTGAGAGGCTGAGATCGATCCTGGCCTTTTCAGATTCAGGGGTTTCCAGCCATACTAACTCGTAGTCTCCCGTGATGAGTGCTAGAAAGATGAGGGATTTGACTGCGGAGGCAGGCTCTGTTGTCAATGAGGAATGGACTGAAGTGCAAGACACCAGATTGCTCTCTCGTAGCCGTTCGCCGTGGACATTTCAGAGAAGTAATTAGGCAAATATAACCGAGGAACAATTCGACGCTGGGCAGCGATGAAAGCTAAGCTGCGTCACGCCGGAACACAAAGCCATTCGTGAATCTCCAATCCATGGATCGGTGATGTCATCACAATCTTGCCTCAGGTACCAGAGGTTACTATTTCCGTCCGGGCCAGATATCTTTCGACTTCAACATTTGTCCGAACAGTCAACTTGATGAGGAAGAGGATCGATTAAGCTTGTCCCCTGAACAAGATCGGATCTAAGCAACGGGTGCATCTGGATCTCCACAGTCCATAAGGCTGAGATCGAATTCCCCCACCCCGCTTCCGGATAAGCTGCAATACATGCGACCGTGGTCCGGATATGCCACAACTTACTGATGGGTCAAATTTTTATCACAGACACAGATACCAAATACTTATCCCAACAACTTTTTCGCACTCACAACTACATAGTCAGCTCTACTGAGCCCCTAACATCTGAGTATGCCTGTTACGCTCTACTACGGCTGGCCGCTATATCTCGACCGGCGTTGAGTTCTCGAAACTCGGGCGAGAATGCTAGGAACCACCTTCTATTAGTGTCAAAGCGCTGACCATATACCGAGGACGATCTATCACGTCTGCTAGGGCAGCCGACGGAGGAATATGTCCCAGCAATTTACATCTTTGGATCAAGGCTCATCGAGCGCCGGAAGGACTCTGGATTCCATTCGCTTTGGGTGGCATCTTACAAAAGCTCGCTCTACGACTCTGGAACGAACTAGGGGACACATGCTTCAGGGACAGGGAACCGCATTCGTGATTTTCCTCAAGAGGTCAAATATGGACATATTCAGAACGATGAATTCGTACGCGACTCTGCTGACAGGCTAGTTATTGCGGAAATCTGAATTAAGCATAAACTGGTGAAATCGATGGTTGAGATAAGAAAGACTAAAAGGTAAGTACCACTTGTATGTCGAAAGTAAAGTCCATTCAGCGCCTGATCTGGTGAATCAATATGAGTACAAGTCGCATAGAATACATTGAACATATCCCACAAAACAATTTCTACACTTGCCAGCCACCCTCACTGTACACAGCTAGCATGTTGCATCCCCATCCAGCAAAAGCCTCCCCACAAGCAGCTCGCAAGTTGCAAAATAAAATTTAGAGACCGCGCAAGAAGTTGTCCTCCCGAATGCCCTTTCTCCGCGCCTCTCTGGCACTCCGCCTGATTTCGGTACGCTTGTCGAGACTCTCGGCAGCGGCTTCGAGCAGATCCGCGGGCACAGCTTCGGCGTTGTATGCGGCAGGGGTAATATCGGTAGCGTGATGATGGATCGGGATCTGGGGGGGCAGGGTTGCGGCACGGGCAGCCATCTTCTTCTCGTAGCGCTTGCGCTGCTTCTTGTTCAGAGCTAGAGGAAAAGAGGGTTAGCGGACCATTACACAACGGTGACACAACTCTATCAAATATAGGTTCCATACTGCTGGGATCAACACCGCCCGTTGCGGTCTTGTTCTTCTTGGAGTCGTCCAACAACGACCACAGCCATTCGGGGTACTCCGAATCCTCCAAAGCCACAACGTCAGGCTTGTTCTTGAAGTAGTTGAGTCCGTTCATCTTCTGGCCAGCAGCGCAGGAGCTAGGGGGACGTTCCACAGCAGCCTTCTTGGGCTTCTCGGGGTTGACATCAACGTGGACACCCTCCGGGGTGCTCAATGGTTGGGACACGCCAGGGGTGGCGGACGACACGGCCGACGGGATCGTGATATCGGCACCGGCAGGCTGACGGGGGGCGGGAGGAGGAGGTGTGGCCGATACAGAAGGCTTTCCATCACTGTAGTTGCGGAATTGGCTTCGCTGAATGGGGAATTGGCGTGCGCGTGACGGGATAGACAGCGTAACGGTCTGGGGCTGCTGTAGCCGGGACAAGATACCGGTCCGGCACCGTTGGCAGATCATTGTGGCGTGGCTTATGTTATTTGTGGAAAACAAGGGGTATAATTGAATTGATTGAAATGACTGCCACGATCAAGTCCCAGCCAGCTTTTTTGATTAGCGTAGTGCTGGAGATTAGAATATGGTGGCCGACGCGGAGCAGATGTCGAGAAAACTGCGGCGGGAATTTGATGCCAAGCCGGAGGTCAAGTCACGTGCTTACATCCGCACTTCAAAGACCAGGCACGTCCAAACGGTCTCCTATCTTCTGTCTTTCTTTGGCAATGACTAGATCAGATAGGTGCAAGGTCTGATTAACAATTGAATTTGGATGGTGTACACTTGAAGTCAAAAGTGTCGCCGATGCAACTGCGCGTGCTCCGGTTATAAATGCAGGTCATGTGATTCTGACATGCTGAGAGACAATCACATCGAGAATGTCTCCAAACAGTCACTATTGAAGAGTGCCTGACCTCAAGTAAAGGTCATATGTTCTAACTGAGGGCTATTCTCGTATAACTGAGGCGTCTTATACTTTGTATATCTCTTGTACCTGTTCACAATTGTCTTGGTCACGTGCTATGGATCTTTTACAGTTGGAGCCTGAGGCAACAAGTGTTCAATGGGAATAGCTCACGATTACCCGTTTGGGAAACAAGCTCAGTCTAGCTCTACTTACAATACTATTCCTCGGACTCCTAAAGCATTTCTGGCTTAGATTCTTTTGTGACTGGCAATTGGCAACTTTGGGGCCTTCTGTCTACGTGTAATGGTGCAATTTACGCGCCAACTCTGGCAAGGCATCAATATATCTCAACTTCTTAAGTTACCTAACATGGCTACGCAATGCTTTAGATACATTGCCACTCTTCAAGTCTTTCAAATTTACCATTACGTATGTCCCACACTTTCTTTTCTGGCCCTTCTATTTTCAACCCTCCGCTTCCAACGGCACTTAATACCTCTATATATTTGATGTATTATCTGGGCTTCCTGGCTTCAATGATGAACAGTAGTATATCAATTCAAGATGACCCTCATGTCTGCCTTTTTTGCCATGAGGATACTAAAACTGATTTAAAATATCAAGTTCATGCTTTCTCCGGCATGAATACTACATATATTCAGAATTAACCACCAGGCTACGCAGTCAGCAACTATAAGGCATGATGCTCGGCCGTATGTCGCACCTCGCATAGAATATATCTTCATGCATGTGTACTGGACTGACACAGCAGGTCCTACTTGTTACGTACTACATCTCCATTNTAAGTCGCATATCCAATCATAGAAATACCGAATCAGAAGCCTTTCATCAACATCCCACAATCCGAGTCAGAGGCCAAGCCTATGAAGGCCTGTTGCAAAACTTTGTTTGGCCATCGCAGTATATGTTGTAGCAAGTACATGATACAACCCTGCTCTATACTGTTCATCAGATATATCTCGATATTGGCGCTAATTCCGCTGCCTACCCCACAGGCAGAAGTATACCCCGGTTACTCGAGACGCAAAGAATCTCAGACTCACAGAGCACCGCAGTAGCAGGTACATCATCGGTTTGCTTTTTGAAGACTTATGCCATTCCACAAGTTCACGCATGAAGACTGACCTTCAAACAGTGGCGCTAGGTCAACGTCTGCGCACACATCAAACAAAGCAAGCTACTGGTAGCTGCAGAGTAGACTAAGGCAAGCTGCGCAGTCACTCAAGCATCCCGATATCGCTTGTCTCACAAGGTGTTTGCGACTGGTTCGAACTTCTTATCAGCGCTAGTTGTCTCCGATCTCTCTGCCCGTATGACCCTCCATGCGGGATATTTCGCTTCTAAACACCGGCAACTTTTGGGTTGGCTCTTGCGAATCTTTCTGGTCTCCATTACTACCTAGATGAATGATATGTCGACAGACAAAAACTTGGATTGCTGATGAGTTGCAGAGGGTTAAGATGGCCAGCGTGACTAAGCCTCCTCCGGGACGCCTTCTTTCTTGATCTTACTTTCGACACTCCCCCGCCTCTTACTTCTTAGACCTCATACTAGTGAACTCTTGAGCTTTTCTACATCTCGTCCATCTCAAACAGTATCATCTTATCTCTGTTTGAAGTGAATGCTCGTCCATGCTCCAAGCCTTCTGAAACCCGCTCATACAAGTGACGGTTTTCGATCAACCTACGTTTAGTGAGGCTATCTGACGCGCAACGCTTGAGATACTTCCACAGAATTGACTAACATAAATGACATCGATAGCTTTCATTAGAAAATAATGAGAGGCCTCAGCATGAGCCAATAGATTGTACAAAGAAACATACACTATGCATTATGAGGATGGACATAAGTGGGGGATCCGACTCTATCATGCAAAAACATAGGGTCCCATGAAGTTGCCGAGATTCGAAAATGCAACACAAGCGAAATGGATATAAGAGAAAAAATAAAGAAATCGGGGACTGGAGCCCGCTTTTGAGCTCCCTCTGGGCAAAGAGAACAGAAACAGAAAGATGATGTAGTCACGCCAAGCGCCAGTTATGAACAGGGAAAAAGCATTACGGCCTAAGAGGACAGGCCGCTGACATTGAGGAAATTGCATAGGCTCACGCAAGCATCCTTCAGAGATTTTTCGGTCTTCCATTCGAGCTCGTCCTGGGATCTTGTGGCGACAGCGACGCAAGAGCCAACATCTCCAGCGCGACGACCTGCAGCTTTTCTGGGAATAGGTTTGGAAGACACTGCTTCCATTGTGTTGACCACCTCCATCACAGAGTGACCCCGTCCGGTGCCCAGGTTGAAGGTACGAAAGTTCTCAACCAGCTTTCCACCGTTGGCGGCGTTGAGCGCAGCAATATGTCCCCTAGCAAGATCGGTGACATGGATGAAATCGCGAACTGCAGTGCCATCCTCAGTGTCCCAGTCCGTGCCAAACATCTGCAGCTCCTTATATTGTCCGGTCATGACTTTTACCACAACCGGGAGAAGGTTCGTGGGCGTCTGCCTGGGATCCTCTCCCAAAAGGCCAGATTCGTCACATCCTATAGGGTTGAAATAGCGTAGGGCTACAATGGTCCATTCTGGATCAGAAGCCGCAAGGTCCGCTAATATGGCTTCGCAGATCCATTTGGTGCGCCCATACGGGTTCGTAATACCCGTGCAGCCAGGTTTAACGGTCTGTTCCAGACCGTCTTGGTCACTGTAGACCTCTTCTTTATGGACACAGAGTTCTTCCTTTAAGGGAAGACCCGAAGTTGCCAAGGTTCCGTACACCGTGGCGGAGGAGGAGAAAATGAATGTTTTAATTCCAAATTCTCCCAAAGTTGTGGCAAAGTCGATAAGACCACTAACATTGTTCGCGTAATACTTCAAGGGGTTCCTGATACTCTCTTCCACAGCCTTATAAGCAGCAAAGTGGATGACGCCACCAATTCTGGACTTGGGAGTTCCCCATCTGGATTGGATCTGATACTGCTCAAGAAGGCCTCTAAGAGCAGCAATATCCCGGAAATCATGGGCGTGGAGCTGCAATGACGGCATGCATGTCCCCTCCTGGTCATGGTACTTTGCGGCCAGTTGTCTGATGCGGTCGAAGACGCTCTGGAAAGAGTTGCTGAGATTGTCGATCACAATTACATTATAGCCGGCTTTGAGTAGCTCCAATGTTGTGTGACTGCCGATGAACCCGAGACCCCCTGTGACGAGGATGTACTGATCGAGGGGAAAGTTGCGCAGCAACTCTTCAAGGTTGCCATCAAACAACACGGAAGATTGCGTCGCCGGCGTGTCAACGCAACCAGGGGAGCAAGGCTCCACAGGAGTGCTTGCATCGGACTGTCGAGGGCTCTCCATAACTGATAGGGTCGAAGGATGAGGCACCGTTGGGGGGCAATGCGGACAGGAATCACTTGGACAAACAAAAACAAGGAAAGGACAGAAAGATTTATTCTCCAACGAGAATTTAACGACCGCAGGTGACTTGACTCTGGACGGGATAACCCAAGGAAAGGAGTTTCCCAAATCTTATATTTTCCTCAAAACGAGCAACAGGCCCTCCCACTTGCGCGCCGATGTAACCGCTGTCTCTGGCCCGCTAGGTCAGGCGAAGATATCGTGATCCGTGACTTGCTTATTTACAACGAATCATAACCAGAACAAGCGAATGGACGCAGTAAATTGCAAAATTGGCGACCAAAAAGAATTATATGGAAGGCTGGCTTCGGAAAAAGACAAAAAGGTATAGGGGAAAATGAGAGAATGGAAAAAGAAACGAGCGAAACTAGAAGGAGAAAAAGCAAATATAAAGTGAGTGGTCGATGTTGTCAGCGGTTGCTGCTTCGGTATGAGAACGGGGCCTAGAAGGCTTACTGGGTCATCGAAAACGGATTCGCCTCCGCTGGGGGGTAGGCATCGAGCGAACTCTGGTCGCCTCCACTGGAGCTGCAGGATGTACAATTGGTACGAAAAGGCGCTCTCGACCAGGGAAAAGAGAAATTGCTCCTCCAGCTAATCCGAGACCTGATGCATGGTCGAAACCCTGCCCCGCTCTATTTTGGGCGCGCCGCATCCATACTCTTGACTTTTTATTTTTTTATGGTTTCCCACTGGTCTCCTTACAATTGTTTAACCTCGCTTTATCCAACAGCGAACAAGTTTGGAAACGCTGATGAATACTTAATTGTTAGTCTCCCGGCCGACTCTGGCCCAAATCCGCTATGGCCAAAGCCCACTTGCTAGCTCGTTTCGATTTCGACCCCCGATTTTTGGCGCGCACGGTTTCAAATTACATCGTTAGCTTCTCAAAGCCAGCAGAATGGGGCAGGGTGAACACGTGAGAGACCGGCGCTGCCTGCAAAGCCGGCGCTCGCGACTCATTCTGGCAATCCTTGTATTCATTGCCCTTCTCGCCGTCGTCATACCACCAGCAGTAGTGTTGACCCTACACAAATTCACCATGGGCCCTAAAGCATCAGTTTTCGTACCGCTCTACGTCTACCCTGCCCCGGGAGCATGGGATCCCTTAGAAAAGGTGTAGGTGCTTTTTTCCTTTTGTTATCCCCTTCTCCATATCTCAACAAGCCCTCGCCAAATGTTAACCCCCCTCCCCCTTCCCCTTCCCCCCGCCAACCACATTGTACTCCAGTCCATGCCCACGCTATCTGTCAGCCACCGGATGTCCCGCGGCACGATACAAGTAACCCTGATGTACGAAGGACGCAGCTGAACGCCACAGGATCTCTTCTCATCCCGACGTCAATTTCACCGTCGTGGTCAATCCTGGTAGTGGTCCAGGGCCCAACGCCTTGCCCGATGGAAATTACACACGAGAGATACCCAAGCTGGCGTCTTATGGCAACGTCCGCCTCCTAGGCTATGTTGCTACCACGTACGGGCAGCGCAACTTCTCGTTGGTGCGGCGGGACATTGAGACCTATGCGGCGTGGCCGACCAACAGTTCGAACCCCAATCTAGCGGTTCGGGGTATATTTTTCGACGAAACCCCCCAGCAATACGAAAGCAATACCTTGGCCTACCTCCAAGATCTGACTGCTGTCGTGAAGACAACCACCGGCCTGGGTCCGGACCATTTTGTACGTGCAGAAGTCTCTCCCGTATTTTCATTCTTTCATTACTAGGGGTAACGCCGGGTAATTTACACCATTACCAAATTTCGGCAGCTGGCATTTCCGCCCACTCGCTCATTGCCTTTTGCTGCCCCCTCAAACGCATGGTTCTTTTTCTCTTTGCTTTTTTTGGATGCTTCTGTTCTGGCTCCTGTTCCTGCCGACAATCCTCATCCAGAGCCGTCGTTTGGATCGCCCGGATAGATCTGGATGGACGCCCACCATTGGCCCGAGTTTACCATGCTAACGAGACTGTCTCAACTAGGTCGTCCATAATCCCGGCACGATCCCTGATGCCCGCTACTTGCCGACGGCTGATTCGACTGTGGTCTTTGAGGCAACCTACGAGACGTTCTTGGAGCGTCAAGGGGCTAAGCTGTTTCAGGAAATCCCGAACAGCACTCGCAGCCAGCTGTGCGCCGTGGTCCACTCGGTGCCAGACAGCGTGGAAGGGCACAAGTTCCGAGACCTGGTGAAGCAAGTGCGCAAGGTCGCCGATGAGATTTTCATCACTCATCTGGATACAGATTATTATGCGAGTTTTGGCGGCCAATGGGAGGAATTTGTGGAACTAATGGCTCGATCGTGAGGTGGCAGATGCCTGGTGCATCTTATGTCTTGGTATATACAGTATTTATGACGTATACGACGAAACCAATTTGATCATTCAAGTGAAATGGATGATAAGGCTTTTCCCTCCAACTAGAATCCAATCGCCGCAGACAGGGACACCAGTGTAGCTGGATTCGGGATCTGTTGCGCCAATTCCAAGGCATTCCTCCAGAGGTTTAGCTTAGGCAGAAACAAAGAAGCTAGCCATTTAGCCCCAACACTTCCAATCCTAGGAAGTATCTGTTTTCCATCTTCCAAGGAAAGATACATCCATTTCCTCCCCCCCCCCCCTCTCTCCAAACAAGGTACATGGCTAGTTTTCTTTACAACACATCCATAGTGGGGCTGTTACCCACCCGTAAATTTCATTCTCCGCGGCCCCGATCCGATTCAGAGCCACTACCGAATCCCAGCCCCACTGACCAACCAGTCCAGAAAAGTCTGTCCATTGCCCACTTAGTATCATGGTCAAACAGGGCTAACCACGAGTCAGAGGTATGTGGATATGGATGATCTCATCGGTTAGATCGCGGATTTTTCTTTTCTTTTCTTTTTTCTTTGTTGGTTTGGTTTAGATTGAAGGGAGGGATTGTTGAATGGGAAGTAGGTACAGTGCATACTGCATACTGCATAAAGATGTGTAATCAGGTAAATAGATAGGTAAGGTTCAGAGAATGTCAAATCTCTCCAGATCATTAAATTTTACCACCCATATATGATCATTCAATTAGGTGCTTCTCTATACGAAGAGTGACATGAGATGGGATGTAGTCCAAGTAAATGCGCGCAGTAAAATGAAAAAAAAAAAAAAAAGAAAACTGAGTAAACAACAGATGATCAGACCCCGGGCTACTTGCTGCATGTCTTGGATCATCTACTAATAGGAATCGGTTTCTCCTCGAGGCAAGCGGCATGACATGGCATGGCATGGTAGGGCTTGGAGACCCTACATCCCATCCTTCATTCGTATTCGGTAGGTAGATACTTACTTACGGGGTATAATTGGACCTATCATGAGAGATTTACCTAGTTAGTTAGCAGCCAGCTGGATGGATGCTAGTACTGTAGGTATGTGATTAGTTTCAGGAGGAGGGAATAAGAATGGATGAATGGATGCATTGATTGAGTTTTTCCGAGACTTGCATCAGTCACTCACAGACAGACATTTGATCCATCCATCCATCCATCCATCCATCCATCCATCCCTCCATCGGGACTTCGGCTTCCGTAGGATGTATGTATGTCCCGCTTCTGGATGTTGTCTAGTATAGTGTTGTTTCACGTAAACTTACGAAGTAAAAATAACTTCCTGCTGTCACACCTGATCTAAGTAAGGTATGTGTGTATGTATGTATGTATGTTGTCGGATTACTCCGTCCTATTCTTCGTTTCAATGGAATCAGATGGATTTACTTCTACTCTGTATGTAAGTGGATGCCATGGGTGCACCGCATAATAACATACATATACATATCAAGTGCCCTGCATATTGTGGCTGAATCTCCTCGCGCTGGGAGGGGCCAGAAATGTTCCGTTCGCGGGTCTTGGAAACTGCCCCCCTGCCCGCTCCCCTGCCCCCTTGTCAGACATACATGTTATGTTTAGGTTATTTTTGGATCGATCGGTTGGGCTTGAAGAGAGGAGGTTGGGTAGGATTATTCTTATGATTACTACACTGTGTTGATGGATTGTATATTATGTTGACCGATGGAATGAGATGAGATGGGTTGCGTGCATAGGTACGTAGTGAGGAGCTTGGCGGGATTACCATTTTGCTCATTACACAGATACTATCCGCTACGGACTAGTTAGTAGTACCTAGTCAGTTCTTGATATTGTAGGATGACTCTTGTTGCATCGCATCCGGAGTTAAGTTTCCTTCCCATAAATAGCAACTCTACTTCCTACATAAACTGTCGCACTTTCGCATAAGCCATCATCGTCTATTCCTCTGTATATGGTCCATGGAAAACCAGCTACTACGTTTCAACCCCTCTAATCAAACTCAAAACAACTAGACATAAATCGCAAAGGAGATATGATAGAATTAGATGCCATCTCGGCTAAGCTCGACGATCGTCTGTCAGCCATGTCGATCGATGAGCATTGAGTTTTAGTGGGGTTACTAAACCCTCACTAACACCCTAGTCCTCTTCTCTAGTACGAACTTCGACTCTTCCATCAGGTAACACAAACTCCCACGACAGCAAACATTAGATTAATCATGATCGGTCGGAGATAGTTTCTACAAGCGGGCCGAGTCAATTGAACAAGGATTGAATGCAGTGTATCTTGAGAGTTGATTCACTGCATAGGAATGATTGATGGATGACCGGGTCATAAGTTCATGGTACATTGCCGTCTCTTCCCGCGCGGAGAAATATATATCACTACACTACTATACTAGTAACAGGGCTAGCACTGTGTTAGAAGATAATGGGATGGTGGAGTTTGACCAGAGTCATGAACAGCCAAAAGTAGAATCGACATTACTATTATTGCTTCAGCTGTCAGGATTCCCGAGATTAAGGATCATCTATCAAGATGACTATCAGGGAAGCGGAACTGCGGTTGTTTGAGATATTACTATCTTAGTACTCAGAGTATACTAGTAGGTTCTCTAGAATGTATTTCCGACACTACCTACTCCCCACTGTCTGTTCACCTAGGGCAGGGGATCAGTCCATACTGTTATCATGTAGCTAATTTATCCGACACACTGTCATCGAATAAGCATATAATAGAGCGACATAAGTCTAATGCAATTAATATGAATGATGGCTTGATTCAACTATCTAACCTAAGATAATCTAACTTCCCAACATGCTACATTCTGAGTATCACATCATACCATTGACTCTATTAATACCTACCTCCTAACTTGACACTCCAAGTGAGCCCGTCCATTTCCCAACAACTAGCCAATTAGTACCAAGTAGTTAGCTGGCTGGTTAGTATCTCTACTAACGCATGCATGTATGCAGCCCGCCTGCAGCTGTTCGTAGAACAATCCCAATCAAAGCGCAGCGGTGACCAGAGCGCCAAGCGCACACACACATATTCTGTCTCTTTCCCACCCAGCCCAATATTCTGTAAGTAAGGTCAAGATTTGAAATCCGCCCTCGCTTCGAATCAGCGCCTTACTCAAGGACACCAAAATCAGAGATCTAGAATCCAGATATTTGTTACCGGGCGCGCATTGACTTTTGGTTCGTTTGTGTGGTTGCTCCCTTTCCCTCACTAATCAACTAACTAGCCAGGAAAGGTCAATCACCGGTGGCAATTAGTGCATGAACTATGCGAAGGAGGGAATCACCTCCGGCGCGAACTAACTAACGGGAGAAAGGGCCGTCAAAAACATGGAAGGTTTGGGAAAGTGTGAAGCCACTAACAAAAAGCAGCTAACCAAGAGGGAACTTTGTTGAACTTTGTTGAACTGGACTGAACTAAACTACTTTGTAAAAGTGGCTCTCGCGGTTCCTGAGTTTTTCTTGCTGGGCCCCACAGCACACCGCCCACCCGGCGATCTTTGGCCCGAATGGGGATTAAAGTGGAGTGGAAAGTGGGAAGTGGGAAAAAGCCCGGTTCAGGAACAAGGCAATCACTACTCTTTTCCACTCTTTTCTCAGGAACATGAACGGGTGGTGCTGGTGGTGCTGGTGCTGGTCGGGAAAAGCAATGCCGTCGGAGGTGATTCCTTTCTTCTTCCTGGCGCTAAGTGGGTGAAGGTGAACTTTATCTCTGCTCAGATCACTTTTTTTTTTTTTTTTTATTTACTTTCTTTCTTCGTGGCTGGTTTCGTTCTGTTTTGGTTTTTGAAGGTAATTTGCTTGGCTGTATACCTTGCCTTTTGGCTGAGTATCTATCGATGGGGTTCTCTTCCGTGTAACTTTTTCTTAGTCGGCTAACTGTTTAGTTTTGACTTACGAGAAGACGGTCTGAGTTAGTAGTAGTGGTGTCTATATCTGATCCTAATAAGTCTGATCCCAAGGATAGATCTTTCAATAATTAATCTATTTCTCTGAACGAAGGATGAAGAGAGGGGTAGTAAGTCAAAGTCAATACATTCAGCTTGACGACATTCAGACGTTCAATGATCCCATTCATTACCAGTAAGTTTGAAAATTACCAAGTCTGAAATATTTCGTATTAGTGACACCACCAGTATCGAGCAATACTAAGCCTCGGGACACTCGGACACAAATCCAGTTCCCAAAAGCCTAGGATTTAGCCTCGGCGATTCGCTCTCTTCTCTGGCTCAGATTTCTATTTCCCCACCACGCGTGTGAGAGATTCTAGCGAGGGAGCTAAATCGCCTAGCGCTTATTACATTAATAATCTTAATCTGGAATTAGATATATCCATGTGCTAGTATATACTCCGTAGTTTAGTCTGTCTAGCGTGGAACCCGCTACCACTTTTACACTATTCCTATCTGGCCGGTCTTGGGTATAGACTAAGTGGGTGCTGCTGCTGGTCAGTTCTCTGTTTTCGGCCCTCACGCCACCTTTAAGGTCAAGTCAAGTCTGGTCTGGTCCACGGGTTCATCGGATAACCAGGCACCAGGGGAAAGACCCAATTTTCTTTCTATTTCTAAGAGAAATTCAGTCGTCTCTGTTCTCATGGGGTGGTTGGAGTGCACGTTGCACCTGTTTACTATTCACTAGCTGATATTTTGTTGTTGTTTTACTCCACTACCGGGCCGGTGGATGACCTAGACTACTAAGATGCACGCTTCGTTCAACTCGGCGTGGCGCCGTGGGTTTGACCGTGAGACAAGAAAAAGGGGAGGGCCCTTTGTGCTCTGATTTTTTGGGCAGTGCGATGGCGAGATCAATGGCCAAGGGTTGGGGCTGGGCTGGGTTAGATCCTGGTGTCTTGACTAGGACTTGAACTAGGTTTGGGGGTCGGATGGTGTCATTCATTCCAGGCAATGGAATGCGTCCGCTTTCTTGGTCTGAATTTGATTAAGTGGCTTTGTCGGCTGATAGGTTTTCCAGATGATACGATCATTGTTGCACTAGAGACTGAGACGGGCTGATGGATCTGGAATGGCATGGCATGCTATGTTCGCATGCATGATGTTGCTCGGGGAAATAAAGAGGGCTGTCAAAAGAAAGCAAGCAAGTTAGTAGGTATTCCAGGGGGAAGACGTCAGCATATGACAAGTGACGATCAGTCATAAACTTTGTAGATGAATGCTGGATTACATCATAGTAGATAGTAGCAACTACAGTACAATAGATATCGCTATCAAAACTCCCCTGCGCCCTTGCTGGTGTGCCGAATTCCTGTCCCTTCACATTCCAACCATCTGAAAACGGGCCCTGGCTAGCACATCTCGATCCAATTGTCCAGGTCCATGTTCTTGATCACCGTGGAGAAGTTGCCCGAGTCGGTGAAGTTGCACGCCTTGGACTTCTGACTCGAGGTCACTGACAAGTCATTGTTGGTGTCGTCACCCTTGGGGTATTCGATGTGGAAGACTGGCTTCCCTGCCTCCGTGAAGGCAGCGTAGGTATCGCACTCGTCGTACTGCGAGCATTGCTCGTTGACGCTCCACTGCATATTCTTGATAACCGACGAGATGATGGAACCCGCATTCTTCAGACCGATGGACATGTTGCGCGCATGCGCTTCATTGGCCATCCAGTTCATGTAGCTGATCGAATCGGCCTCTGTCAGATCCAGCCCGTTATCATTGTCGTAACCGTCGACGTTATCCGGGTCCACCCCGTCGCAGCTCTTGTTCTGAGCCAGGTCCAGGCGGGTGAGCATGATCTTTCGAATGCGAGGAGAGCTGATGTTGATCCATTTCTCGCCGGGCCATCCGTCCAGGTTTTTACCCAGATCATCCGAGTTGAATTTGTCCTTGTCCGGGCGCCAGTTCTCGTAGCTGCCGGCGGAGAAGTAGCAAATGACTTTACGGCCTGCTTTTTGCAGATCGTTGATTACAGACTTGTTGTTGTTGAACAGATCAATGTCGTAGACATCCACGTCGACGGAGGTGTCATTCAGAGGATAGAGCAACTCGATCTGCCAACTGGTGCCGACGGCGGGCTGCCATTTGGCTGAGGTGTAATTGCCTGAACTGGGTGGCGTCGTCTCCCCGCCTCCTCCCTCTTCCTCTCCTCCTCCCCCTCCGCCGCCGAGTCCAACACCCAGTCCGACTCCAAGACCGATGCCCAGGGCGATGATAAACCCGATGATTCCTCCAATGATGATGAGCTTCTTCTTGAATGTCCATGTCTTCCATCCCCGCGAGGGAGGGCCCTTGAGGGCGGCCTCACTGGCAGGCTCCATCGCGTAGAACAGATTTCACACGAGTGAGAGCAAAGGAGGAATCGCGAAAAAAGAACAAACCTCGCGACGAAACAAGAAGATCCGGGGCTACGGGGAATAAAAGGTGGAGCGCAATGCAAAGAAACAGTCACCAGTTGAGTCTAGACCGGGACTTGCCTGTCAAAACCACGGCGATTGCAGCTTGAGGAAATGAAGTTGCCTGAAGACGAAGTCAAAGAAGCTTCACTGGTCACACGGATCTGCGGTTCATATTGCAGCACGCCGTCCGAAACAGCTTGCCAAATGAGCGAAACTGAAGGGGCGTCAAGTTGGTGATGATGATAGGCAGTGTGGTGAGGTGGTGAGAGAGTCGGACCCTGAAGGGAACCAGCTGGACCCTGCAAATCGTTCCCGCCACGCTCATTAGCTGTGCAACCCTGCCCTAAATTGAATGGGTAGTCGACGAGAGGGGAAACGCCGGAAGACAAAGAGGCGAAAATTCGGGGGCCTAACTGGCCAAGAATCAAAACCACCAAGCCGCCGGTGTCTTGTCCGTTCACCAACTTGGCGTTGGATGCTTCACGTCGACTGGTGGACAAACCGGGTTCGGCCGGATGCCCTTAGTGACTGATTTCCAGTCTAACTCAGTCTTGGGTCGCTTACCAAAAGAGTTAAGCGGAAAATAAACAGAGATCGCTAAGATGCGACCGTGCTCAGTCCACAAAATAGGGACCCAGAGATTGCGATTTCTTCAGGAGCTTCCACGGTTGTTCGATGCTCGAAACACCAGAGCCATCTCCACCTCCAACCATGGAACCTCCGGCTTCGGAGCTAGTGAACAGCTTGAAACACGGTGATCCTGGGATAGAGGACAAGCTCGTCGACTCGACTATGCCGACTTGGCGCTGGGGGTGTGTATAACCCTTGGCGTTGCTATTCTTGTGCGCTGCTGGCCCCCAAAATAGACGATGGGGTTAGGCGACACGCTGGAGGCAAGAAGCAGAAGGCAATGATTCCAACTCGGGCTAAGCGAGACGTCTTCACTTGCCGTTGCCGATTTAGAGTTTCACCCCCTTCTTTTCCGCCGTGAAGAAACTTCACGGAGGCAGAACGGCGAATAGCGTAATAGGAATGACTTCAACTCCCCCCTTTTTTGCTTCTTTGGGGCCCTTGATTCTGTGCGTTGGCCTTTCTTGTCCTCCCATCGGGCCGGAACCTTGCCAATCAATCCATCCAGCCATCCAGCCATGATGCCCTTCGGACACTAACCGCAACTCCCGAGATCCAGCTAGATCCTTTTCTCGTTACGGTCACCGCGGGTATGATAGTTACCACGGTTTGTAAATTCGCTCCCGCTGGTATACCGCGTAACTTTCGATACAAGGCTTGGCATCACCACGGAGTCTTCTCCTTCTGGCTCGCTAAGCCATCGTCAAACATTAGTCTATTTCTAATTCTTTCGCATTGGAGACTCTTTCTCTCTCCCGTATCAGTCTCGGCCGCAGCGCTAGAGCCGCAGCCTGACTCGCCCGTCTGAAGAGTCTGGCCAGAACTGCGGCGGAGGAAAATCCGCGGGCTTGGCTTGGCCAGCAGGGGGATGGAATTCCAGTCATCTCCAATTCACCACGTTGTTGTCATGGCGGGGATGCTGATGCGATGCATGACTAGTACGGAGTAGATACTATCCTTCTAACCTAATGAAGACTTCCTCCGGACTACTAGCACTGTTCTGATGTGATGGATCTTATGACTTGACCCAGGTAGTCAGTCTAGAGTAGATTTTTTGCCTCTCGGAGCTAACTAGCTAGCTAGCTAGCTACTCACCGACCCCAACGGGGATACCCTCAGATGGAAAAACTTCCCCTCAAAGTACATGCAGAATTGGCCACGGCCGAAAAGAAACCAGTCACACCTCGCCAACAAATTCGCCCCTGGACCCTAGCCCTGGCAGCTATCTGAGTATCTGTCTGGCAAAGCTTGACAAGCATGAGATAGCCAGGTAGGTATGTGTGTAACGGTTGCTACGGCGAAGCCCGTTCCTCCCTCTCACATTACACACAAACCCAAGACAGTAGTAACAAGTAATGAGAGTAATGGGTGATATAGAAGAAGCAAATCTCCACCTCAAAGAGTAATTACCACCGACTATGCGGAGGCTTAGACTTATTCCCGTGTGTCGGGGTTTGATAATCAGACCAGGGGCTATTCAGGACGAACAAGGGGGCAAGCAGCGGGCGGGGGGATTGCTTCGCAAGCGAAGTCATTCATGTTGGGAACTCGCCGAGGCCGAATACGAGGGGCGGGAGTATATACCATACACCCCCTGTTTGAACCGGGGGCTTGGGCTTGGCGTGATGTCTTAGATGTCGTGTCATGTTGTGATGTGTTGTGTTGTGTGGTGTGTGTCATTCGGCCGGAGGGATGGGGGAGGAGGTTAGTATCGAGTATTATGCGGAGGATAGTGTTGGGCGGAGGGAGGGATGATTATGATTACGATAGATGGGAGGTGGGAATACGAGAGGGTTGCATATCTAGTTCAACTATTCCATGTTCCTATTCTATCCTAGATACTACTAACTAGTTAGTTAGGAGATGACACGATATACACCGTATGATGTGTTCGGAGTTAAGGTACGCCCATCATCATCATCAATCCATCTACTATCCAGATGAGAGAGAGGGGTTGTGTGCATAGATCCATTCGGTGTATAACATCACATAACACAAAACCAAACCCATCTATCCATGACAAAAAACCAAACAATATGTCTCAGATCGGAAAGCACGGATATTGAAAGAGATAGATAGAAAACACGGGATGAACAAAGGGCACACCCGAAATCGATCCACCCCGATTAAGTTACCCAATCGATCTAGTTAGTAGATGAATCCTTCTCGTCTATTCTGGTTTAGTTCCAACCCAAAACAAAAAAGTCCCGCCAAGATCTACTACCCGACTCATGACCCAGTGACCGACCTGACCCTCAATCAGACTTGCCACTCGCCTAACAGAATCCCACCCAGAGGGATGAATGATTTTACTCAGCTACTACGAACCGATGAATCCGGCTATTTGTTTACTACTAGAAGTCTAGATGTGATCGAAAACAGGAAATATACTGATAAGTTGGTTGGTTGCTTTGCCACATTCGTTGTGGCGTCATGCCATGCCATTAGATAATACTAGGGATCGAAGTTGTCCATCGACAATCCCGTTGGAGGATAATAATAGTTTAGTACTGATTGGAAAGTTGGAGAGAGGGAAGGGAGAGCAAACAAACAACTGAAACCAGTCCAATTACATTCCTGTACCCCGCCAAGAATGTGGGTTTTGCTGGTCTGCCAAAAACATGGATAGCAGACCCTGCAGAGACACTTTTTCATTCCTGATTGGGAATGTGTGTGAGAGGTACTTGTTCGTAGTGTGTGGGGGGAGGAGAGGGGGAATATAACAGGTTTTTATTATTACTTGGAATGGTGCACGGAGTACTCCATATTGTTGGGGGGTAGTTAGCTACTGGGGGATTAGTTGTTGCTATAATTGCTGTATTATAGTCTAGGATACTATAACGTAATCCACAATCGCGCGGCCCGTACAATCGCGCGGCCCACCCTCCTGCTAGAACAACACGAAATACTGAAATTGAAGTCTTTTAATCAATATAATTCTTTATATAAATTGCTATACAACTAATTACTAGGCGGTTTAGGACAGTGCGTCCGTTTATGACTAATAATGAAGCAATTACTGCACCGTGGAGGCGCCCGCGAGGGGGTCTCCGTAGGTTGAGATGCCTGCTTAATTTTACTACTAATCTTCATATCTTGACCATATTGGATCTCTTCATGTTGTATAGCTTGCTGAGCGTTTTCAATGGTGGTATCTTTCTTATAGACCACCTGCTTCTTGGAGCGCTTTTTTTTTTGAAGCTGTTTTTTATGACTAGCGCGTAGTTCCTCATTCTCCTTGGCTAGTAGGATTGAATTTGTTATTGCAAGCTCGCACCCCTTAAGAAGCTGCTGTAGTGTAGAGTGTGTAGGTGAAGTTGGACTTGCTTGACGCTTTTGAAGTAGATGTTCTACAGTATTTTGATGCTTTGCAAGATGCTTTATATTATATGGTGTTTGAAGCATTGAGCCACTTGACTGGCTGTCCGGGGTTGGTGGTGTTTTCAAGCGAATATTCAGCTGATGAAGCACTTGATCAGGATCCAGAGGAACTAGACTCGTTGCTCTAAATCTGCTGATGATATTTGATGTTGTTAAAGCTTGCTGGTGGGCTTTAGGATAGACTTCTAGGAAGTTAAGCTTATTGATATAATTCCGGCCGTAGCGTGCTTGTCTTTCAACCAATCCACTATACGCGCGTTTAAGTATACTAAAACAGCCAACATCAAGAGGTTGAAGCAGGTGTGATGAATGAGCAGGCATGCAAATAGGAATAATCTTATTTTTAGCACAGGTTTGATTAAACTCAGGAGTTAGATGGCTACCGTGGCTGTCAAGGACTAGGAGGCTGTATTTGTCTATTGATTTGCTTTTAATTAATGGAATAAAGTGTTTTTGAAGCCATCGAAGTCCAATGATATCAGTTGTCTAATTGTTATCACTGACTTCAATCCTCCAGGTAGAGGGAATAGTTTGATCTTCGTATTATGCTTGGAGATGCGTTTTACCCTTGAAAATTAGGGTTGGAGGTAAAATCTTTCTATTAGACTGAATATACTTAATTAAAGTGATCCATTCCCGGTTTCCTGGTTGAATCAGGGATGGTCGACCAGCTTTTTGGGAATTAGTTACTATCTTAGTAGTAGTAATCAGTCCTATAGCAAACTCCGTTTTATTAAGATTATATATATTATCTGATGAGATTCTATACTCTTGTATGATCTTCTGGACCCGATTGAACTAGTCTTTTATAATCTCAGGATCCTTTATTTTAGCTTTTTGATAGTTGTATCGTCTAGTGAATTGGGTTCGGAGGGACTCGTGGCGTTTAATAAAGTTATAAGCCCAGTTGGAATCTACTTCCTCGGATGTTGAATGATCTTGCTTAGAGAGTATTAAATTAGTCATATTTCTGATTTCAAGCGGACGTGGAGGTGCGTCTCGCTTATCTAAAGATAAGATTTATTTAATAAGTGCTTCTTCTTCATTTTTTAATAACTTTTGACGCGCGTTGGTCATATCTTTGACAAAGCCTCGTCCAGTTAAACGAGCGCGAAGGGTGGTTCGAGGAATATTAAAAACGTGTGCAGCCTCACGAATACTGGCGACTTGATTTTTTTGAATGGCTTTAATGGCAAGAAGAATCCTACCTTCTTGCTCCACTGCAGTTTTTGATGAGATAGCTGACTTTGGTGGTATCTGTGGTGGTCGAATTGCTTCAGGTAGGTGGTTGGAGGTGGTGTTTTGGTAGGGGCGGGCCGCGCGATTGTACGGGCCGCGCGATTGTGGATTACGTTAGTAGGCGGGGGAGGGGAAAAGAAAGAAACCTGTTTGCTTAATACCCAGTTATTTTGTTGTATTTATGTCATAGCCGTATTCATCCCATCTCACTAACTAACTAATATATTCAGACTCAATATAATCATACCCACGTAGTCACTGACTAGTATCTAATATATCCATTACACATTTTATGAACATCTAGAAACTCCCCCCCTCTCTTACAGCGCAATTGGCGTCGACAGCGTAAAGCTGACCGGCGACCCCGACAACTGCACCCACACCGTCAACGGATCACTTCCGACCTGCTCGGTCGTGAAGCTCTGCGTGTTGGTCGGCGCCACAGGGAAGGTAACGGGGATGGTAGCATTGCAGGTGTTATCTGTCGCGGAGACCGTGGCGCCCGTGATCTTGTGGTCGGAGATGGTGTAGCGCAGGGAGTAGTTGCAGGCGTCGCGGGTGTAGCGGGCCAGGAAGGAGGCGGACATCTATTCATATTATTAGCATTCATAATAAGTGGGTTCAGTTGGAGTGGTAATAGGGGGGCTATATTGGCGTACATCTTCATGGTTGATGGTAACAAGCGGCCAATCAACCAAGCGCACAAACTCCTGCACCTGGGTCTCCACCCACGCCTGGAAGATGGAGTACTGGGCCGTCACGCCGTTGACCGTGATGGGGGTCACATCTGCATTACGCAGATTGGCCTGATGGAACATGTAGGGGTCATGGTGCAGACCGAACAAGTGACGCATGACCTCGCCCTTCTCCGTAGCGAGCAGGTTGTCAAAGTCACCGGAGCCAGCGGACGTGTCGATCCACTCCTGCAGCGTGCAGTCCGGGGTATCGCAGTTGTAGTAGATGCGGGTGGCGAAACGCGGGTTGACCTGCATACCGGCGAAACCGTCGGAGTCTTCGTTGGTCCAGTAGGGCCACATGTCGTTCTGCTGGTTCAGGAGGGCAGGGCGCGTGTTATCACCCACGCAGTTGGTGATTCCGTTTTCCCACCAGGCGCGCAGGGCGTCGCCGTTGTGCAGGCCCGTGATGGCGGGAGGGATGATGCCGTTGGCAGTGAAGTGCTTGGCGGAGGAGATGCCAACCTGTTTCAGCCAGGCCTGGTTGAAGGAGATTTCCTTGTAGACATCAGAGTAGGTGGCATTGTCTTGCTCCTCGTGGGTGAAGGTGTGGGAGATGTGACCGAACTTGTCCTGGTTGGTGGTGTTGGTCCACCAGAGCAGGAGAGGGTCGAACTGTGTGCAGGCGGTGCTCCAGTCGTAGGTAGTGGGAGAGGAGGGCCAGAGGTTGGTGCCGGTTCCCAGAGGCTTCTTCCATTCCAGGGGAGTGTCGGCGGGCGAGTTGTACTCGATGCCGCCCTCGTTGCAGGTGGTGTAGCCCTCGTCCGAGACCCCGGCGGCGGCTTCAATGTTGCCGTTGCCGTTGTGGCCGACTTCGACGTAGTAGTTGCTGCCGGCGTTCATCTTGCCGTTAATTTCCGGCAGCCAGTTAGCAATGCCGTCCAGGTCGGCCGGGGTGATGCGGAAAGTGGTGCCATTGGGCTTGTAGATGTCGGTTTCCAGGAACATGTCGTCGATCTGCGTGTTCAGGTTCACGCGGCGGTAACCCGCGTACAGACCGCGGGTGAGCCAGGGAATCCATGCGTGCTGCAGGTACGTGGAGGTGGCGCTCCAGGTAGTATCGAAGGAGATGAAGAAGGCCATTTGCTCACGGCCATTGAAGTTGTTGATCACGGCAGCGGTGGTCTCGCTGCCCGAGTCGGAGTTGGCGGCAAAACGAGCGATTTCTTTGGTGGTGGTGGTGTTGGTGACAGTGGCAGGATAGTGCCAGAGGCCAGTGGTGCTCACGCCCGCACCGGTCTTCAGGCCCGACGTGGGAAAGTCGCTGATGTCCGTGAACGACATCAACTGTTCGACCCCGGTGGCACAGCAGCCGTCGCCGGCAGCGCTGGCGCCGTAACTCGGGCCCGGATACACGTCGTACTGCACCATGCGCACCCCGTAGGCCAGCTGGTAGGCGTACAGCTGGTTCCATTGGTCCGTGGTTAGGGCACTCTGGTACCCTGTGGCATTGCCATAGTTGTAGCTGACTTCGCTGGCAACCACAATACCGCCGAAGTTGCCACCCTCCGTGCCGTTCAGGGCCGGGAGGCTGGTGCCGGACTGGGGCACAATCAGAGTGGTGAAGGGAATGCCATAGGCATTGAGACCGGATGATGCCACGCCTGCCGAGGCAGTGTCGCGTGCAATCACCAGGATGTCGGCGGCAATGGAGCCGCTGCTGACGGGCGTCGCTGCCGGAACAGCAGACGAGGCCACAATGCTCGAACTGAGACTCAGACTGACAGACATAGTGGTGGTAGTGCTGCTGCTTAGGGCGCTGGCAGACCCACTGGCAGAGGTATCAACGAATGTGGTAGGAGAGCCCACCGAGGTCACAAAGGTGGACGCGGCAGAGCTAGTACTGGACAAGAAGGAAACGAGAGAAGCAGTAGTCGTGGTAGTCAACGAATGGACAGCTGAAGTAGTACCAGGAGTGGTGGGCCTGGTGACTTCAGCGACAGAAGTAGCTGAGGCAGTAGATGCGCTGGTTAGAACCGTCGGGTTCTTAGGCCAAATCCCCGGGGGCGTGGTGCATGTTATAAAGCCCAGAAAGCAGTTGAGACTGGTGATCGACGATTTGAGGGAATTCATTGCGATACGAACGGCTCAGGCACTGAGCACCACCCCCTCTTCGCTAAGCGGAAAAAGAAACGAAGGACAAGGAAGCGAAGGCGAATGATAACGAATGACTGAGGTGGACCTGCAGCAACGGACCCCTGGAAGAACGCCGTCGATTGTGGAGAGAAGGAACAGCGGGCTGTCATATGCGCGTGCAATCACATTATGTATGTCTATTTATCCCGAACAGATGGGCGTAGCAACCGCACGGAGAATTGGGAACCTATCGTTTCCACTTGCTTGGCCTGACCAAATCGTCGCGATGGACCCTCCCCTCCCTCCTCCGAGGGTTCCACGACCCAGCCCGATTCATAGATTCCATATCCTCTGGGAGGGTCCTTGCAGACCCGCTCTCCAATTTAGAACCCTCATGGATGGACCAGTTCATGGATCTAAATCCCGAGGCCGAGACGGAGCTTTGCCTGGTTTCCAAGGGACCGAGGGGATGGTTTCTATGGATGTTCAAGATTGTGACTAGTCTTTCACATTCCTGGGGCTCGGGCTGCCCTGGTGGAAATTGGCCCCCCGAAGTCTGACCGAGGACCCCCCATCATGGGATGAGTTCCTGGATTGCTTTGGGCTTAGTATAGCATGTTTAACCAGGATTGGGAAAAATCCAAACAAGCTAACCATGGAGGTGTACCAACATAGTTGGCTTGGCCGCACTTTTGTGGCACCGGGCCAGCCAGATGGGGAGGCAGACGGAGAGGCCCAACCCAGGGTTGCCAAGGGTCCAAATTTAGTGGCTTTTGCCTCGTTTTCTTTTACTTTTTACTCAGGGTTTAGGGGGACTGAGGCGGATATTGAATTCTGGGAAGCCCGAAAGATCGACTTTAGTACCGATGTGGGGTTACAAAAAAACAATCGACTAGGCACACCCGAAAACCTTCATCAGCAGGATCATGGAAGGGGAATCAATGGACTTGGGTTTAGGGCCCGATGGGAAAGTGACTCCATCGTGTTTGTTACACCAATGGGTAATACAGACTTTCCGTCCATGTCACACAGATGGTCTTTTTGTAAAACTGAAGCGTGTATAATACGGTATGGTTTGGATACAGGAAGACGGGATGTATCCGTAAGCAGACGAGACTTGCCCTAATCTGGATAGCTGCAGGTGCTCTTCTCCACCGCCGCCATCCTTCCCTTTTCTGCCTTTTTTTTTTTTTTTCCGTCTTTCTTTCTCATGAGTCGAGTCGAGTCCAGTCCAGTCGAGTCTACAATTCTCTCTCTCTCTCTCTCTCTCTCCACTTGGGCTAATGTAAGGAGCAGACCACAAAGCAAGAAAAGCAATTTCTTTCTTCCTAGACCAATAGGCAACACGAATGATGATGCATGGAAGACTCCGTCCCCTCGTCACCAGCACTGCTGTGTCTTCCCCTCCTCCACCTGGTCCATGAATGGAACCCTCCCTTTTCCCAGTCTTCTGATTTGATCAGCTTGTTAACCTCCTGGCGTGCTCAGATGCCAAACAAAAAGGAATTAAAAATAAAATAAAATAAAATAAAATAAGAACAAATTCTCTACTCCACGGAATTGGCTGCTAGAAAGGCCAATTACTCCCCAATGGCATCGCTTCTGCCCGAGACTGAGTCAAACTAAACATGACAGTAACTAGTAGTGCTCATCATCAAACGGACCTAAACTTCTTAGCGCCAGTTAGCTGCGAAAGCTGAGACGACGCTTCGCTATTTTTGTTGCCCAGTGCTGGGTTGGTCCGCCACCGGCCATTCCAATTGCATCAGACCCAGTGGTTCCGATCTAATGCGACCCAAAGAAAAAAAAAATCCCCCCAAAACAGGCGGAAAAAGAAAGAGGAGACAGGCAGACAGACAGAAAAAGGATGGACCTTAACTGACATCTTGCAGTAGCCGCTGACCTAACACGCTGTCTGTCTCTCTTTCTTTCTGTCTCTCGCTCAATCATACAAGTCAGTGGAGGAAGTCGTCCTGAGGCTGGCACTTTGGCTGCTGCGGGTTCATTCCTCCTTGATCCATCCCATCCTATCCCATCCCATCTCTGCTTGTATATTTACTTTCTTTTCTTTATTTTTGTTTTTATTTTCCCTTTCTTTATCCTTCCGGTGGCGCCCCTCGTTCTTACCACCTTCTTTCTTACTTACTTCCCTTCGTTTATATTCCCAGACAGTCTATCGTTTTCAATCACCACTCGTTACTCTATTCACCCCTCCCCCGCCGGTTAGGTTGCAAATACTCGCCTGGAGCATGGCTTAGAGAAAGACAGAACTTTACCCCCCTCCAATGCCCGATTCGAGCCTCTAATTGTAGTCTAATACTGTCTGCTCGATCTCCTGTTATGTTCCTACATGTCCTTCGCTTCGCAACGTTCTTCCGTTAATCTCTCTCCGGGATGGTGGAAATCCTCGACGTCTCACCCGTCGGGTGGGTGTTCATGAAAGAATTCTGGTGGCAATATGTACGTGACTGTGTGTCCTGCCTCGGAGAAACTTGTCTGGTGTTAACCTGTTCTACTTTGTTTTAGGTTCTGATTGCCATCTTGCTGGCAAGTGTGGTCTGTGGATGTTCATATCTTACCTACTCTGGCACCCGCAGAGCTATACGATGGTATAAGGTGGGTTCCCACCCCCCAACATGTATATGCTAATTGGAACCCCTTTATCTGATCTTCCCTTTCAGACAAGACCGCGTGTAGAAATTGTGCCGGCTGCTGTCTCTCAACGCCTGGAAAAGATCGCCAACCAACAGCTTACCCTAGCCGCGGCGCATCACACGAAACGGAAGCCTACATCCGTGGGAGTCTACCTAGGCACTTTTGCTACTCCTTTGGATGAGACGCATCGTCAGCTTCTCGATCGCTACGACCTCTTGATTGTGGATCCTTCCAAGTCCGGGGTTGTTCATGCAATTTTGCATACCGACGGGAAGCAGGTTTTGGGCCGAGTTGATCTCGCTCTAAGTTCTTCCCAGCAGGACTTGACTCTCGCCGCCATCGAACAGATCGACAGCGCCCTGGCTGGAAGCTTTCACGGAAGTGCCTTTTCTGGTATTGTGCTGGCGAATTGGGAGGACAAGTTCAAGCCCAAGGTTCTCGCCAAATTGGCCGAAGCCATCCACGGTCTGGGTCTGGCTGTGTATCTGGAGACTGGTCCGCCCACTTTCCTGGAGGATGGTCAATCGCTACAAACCCCGGCCATCTCTGGTTTAGTCGTCCGAAATGCTAGTATCCTCCCCGACGGTCAGAAGCGAGACTACTTCCAGCTCGACAAGCTGCGCCCAACCATCAAAGCCTTTGTGTCAGAGGCATGCATGAGAGACTTTTTGGTTCTGGCCTGGGAAACTGTCGACGACGATGTTACGCTTTCGAATGCTGTCGTTCAACGGTCTATGCAGTGGTGTAATTTCTACAGCGCAATTCCCTGGATTGGCCGCAAGGCCGCTCTCGAGAACGCTGCCATCAATGTCAAGACCCCGGAGCCGCTGTCCTCCTTTAGTTGGCTGAAAGATGCGGAGACCATGAAGGCCCACGATCGCTGGCGCACCAACCTCGACATCGCACGCAATTATGTTGCCAAGGCCTCTTGGGATACACTGCGCGCATATTTCCCCTCTGTGGACGACTTGCTCTTTTCTTCCGAACACTCGCCGACAATCAAAAACCCACCAGCCAACAAGCTTCGCGAGCCTCCGGAATGGGTTGCTCAAGTCAAGTCACAGGGCAGTCCGCTGTCCATCTCCATGGCGGGTGTCGAATACAAGGAACTTGGTTGTTTCCCGCTCGGCTCAGAGGCAACACCCGTTGCTTTTGCAGAAATTGTTCATTCCCAGCAGCGTCTGAAGTCACTCAACCTGCTTCATCCGGTTCCGTCGTCGAAATTGCAGAACATGGGGCTCCTCTTCCGACAGTTTTATGAAAATTTCGCCCTCTCGAGCTGGATGGCCTCGGACCAACTGGCTGCCTCTATCAAGGAGTTATCGAACATGGCAGCTAACGATACGCTGCGGGTACACCTCGGGCTGGATTCTGGTCTGCGCAAGAGTGCTGATGTCCGCTTCTGGGCCGTGTATCAGATGGACGCGGATGGCTTCGATGTCTTCGCCTCTAAGAATGCCCAGGGACTGGCTGGCACCGTATTGCACACCTTCCTCTCCGCCAAAGGCTACCCCCGTCACGTTTGTTTCGAGGCAGAAATTGCGTTGGCGAGATGGTCAAAAGATATCAACGAGGATATCGGGTTACCGCGTCGCATCATCCAGGACATTGACGCCTTAAGTCCGGAGGAACGACTTTTGCTGTTGCAGCATCTGTCATTGACCGATGCCAAGGGCGACCTTTCTGAAACCATGTGTGCGTACATCCGGCGACAACTTGTGGACGCGCCAACTCTGGCTCAGCTGAAGGAGCTCAACACGGTCGCCTACCTGGAGGGGTCGGCTTCGCCAGAGCTCTTGATCGAGACTCGGATCAACTGGTACAAGGAGCAGGGCTGCCAATATCCTTCTGCTGCCTCGTCTCTTGCATTGTTCTACGAGGCGGAGTCGGTCTTCACCAAGGTACTGCGAGAGCGGAGAGAGGACGACCTCGCTCAGATCTCGAGTGGTCTGGGCCAGCTCGTCCAGGATGGTCCTATTGATGCCTATACTGACGTACTGGTCCTGTCGTTGTTCTGCGCCGCACGAAAGGGTGCCCTCGACGAGATCTATGCCGAGGTAACTGACCGCAATCCGTTGTTCAACAACCAGTCCGACCAGGCCGCAGCTTTCGCCGAATCGTTTGCTCTCGGATCCCGCTGCGAAGCCTACTTCGATGTTTCGCCAAGTGCCTTTGGAAAGCTTCTGTCGGATCGTTTCCGCAAAAGCTACAACGATGAGAAGCTTCCTGACTGGATCCACGGTGCTCCGGACATGGCTACTTCATATGCCGGTGCCCAGATTGATGTCGATGCCACTCACAAGGTCAAGCCCATGCGTGGATATCAGCGCTTCACTTTCCTCAGTGTGTTCGCTTTTCCTGCTCTGATTGATATCATTCTTCTCACGATCATCGGTCGCGGACTGTATCTCTCTGCCTTCATGACGGCCGAAGAGCAACAGAGTGCGACTATTGCACTCATGATTTCGCTCTTGCTCTCCGGTGCTATTGGCACCTGGATTGCTTGCGGAGGACCCTATTACCTCATCTCCATGGCTTTCGCAGCTGCCAACATGTTTGTTCTGATCAGACTGATTGCTGGCATCGCCTTCACAGTAGCTGGTGGTCTCATCGGTTTCATCTGCATTTCGGCCGCCGTGAGCCCGCGGGCCGGAATCATCTTCTACCTCTACCTCATTGCCCTGACACTCTATTTCTCGTGTTTCGCCTCGCTGGCGAGTTTCAGCTACCCTGGCTCCACGTTCCTCTCCGGCCGCAAGGTCATCTTCGCATGTGTCCCGATCTTATTTGTCTCCCCCATTGTTACCACTTTCACCGGTCATGACTCGGCCATCTACCTTGCTGTGATCTATGCTTTTATCGGATTGCTGCTGCTTGGTCTGAGATCGGTCTCCTCCAAATGGGTCACTTGGTACCAGAGCATTCGGAGAACAGATGATACCGAAATCCGAAAGTGGTACGTTGCCACTTACGGTAACAACGATGAGAAGGTCTTTGGAAATTTGAGTGACCCGGCCGTCCTAAAGCTATCCCGAGAGGCGTTGTTCAAGGATGTTCTCGCGGAGACTAAACGCTGGTTCTACCAGAAGCCTACCACCGACAAGTTGGTGCTGGAGCTAGCCAAGGATTGGGAGGCGACCAACTTCCTCCTCGACTGGTACTGCAGATATGCCGACGTACCCAGGCCAATTCCTTTCAGTTCTTCCTGGAACATCCAGACCAAAGTTGGACTGGAGGTGCTCCGGAACTCGCAAAAGGGCATCAGGCTGCACAATGCCTTCATCCAGTGGCGACAGTCCAGCAGAGAAATCGGATGCGGTGTCCTGTACTTCTTGCTAGCCCTGCTTGACAAGTGGGTGGAGCTACTCACCGGCGGCCAAATGACAGGTCTTGCCCCTTCGGTTACCAGTTCGCAGCGGATGGCCGTCGGATTTGGCCTGGCATACTACCTAATCGGTGCGGTCCTCATCGACACCAAGGCTCAGGAGCTTCATGATCTTGTTGGAAAGCAGACAACGCTTGCCGTGCCCAATGCTAAAGATATCCGCTTGGCGCAGAAGCGGGACGTGAAATACAAGAGAATGGTATACTGGAGAACTCTATTCAAGTATCTCGGGTGGCACGTATGGAGTTTGGCCCTTGCCACCGCTCTGATCTGGACCTTCCAGGATACAATGGAAGCGATGATCATCTTTGTCGCTTACATTCTGGCATACACCGGTCTCCTTTGGTACCAGTACACGAAGATCTTCTCCGGCCCGCATGCATTCAAGACCCTACTCATTGGGTGTGTCGTTGGCTTACCGGTTGGCATCGCTCTCAAGACCCGCCTGCCGCACTTCTTGTATTCGGAAGTCATTGGTCTCGGGTCTGCCACATGGACTGTCGCTATCCTCACACTATTCAAGGCGAAGATGGGCATGCCGAAGAAGGTCTCATCTCCGGTGGAGCTTGGAAGGGTATTCCACGCATACTCGTCTCCCTGGTCAGATCCGGAATGGTCCCAACAGGAGCTGCAAACGTTCTACGAGAAGCTCTCGCTTGTTCCGTCCGACGCGCGCTTGAGCCTGAGTCCCCAAGCCCATCCCGGTGTGGAAGTCAAAGAGATCCTACTTTCGCGCAGAAAGGAAACAAGAATTGAAGAAGCATTCCCCAAGTCCGACGACCTCGTGAACCTGGCGTTAGGCGCCTGGGGCAAAGGCGAAATCTCCCTGGAGCTTGTTCCCGTTGGCTCACTGGGTCCTGGCATTCATGCATTGAGTTGTTGTACGTCAGGCCAACTGCACATCGCCATCTGTGTAGGCCGCGGACTAGACCAACGGATTGACGTCAGTGCGAACTGCCAGGTCATCGCAGAGACTCTGCTTCACGCTGTTGCAGAATCGATGCTGCATATGCCTCATGAACATGCTGTACTTGCCGAGTCGCTCGTCACGGCAGGTGTGACGGAAACCATGGCACGTCAACTTCGCGCGGAGCCTAATACACCGGTCGTCATACGCTGGGCCAAGAAGGAGCTCCTTCAGCAGCTGTGCCTCGGATTCGACTGTGATTCTCACTGGGAAAAGCTGCCCAAGGACGTCAGACAGGCTTTGATCAACCGGTGCCTTGGCCAGCCATGCCAGCTCTCTGAGGCTAGCCGGCAATGGCTGGAAGGAAGGCTTTGCCAGTTCGATGCTGATACCCTCGATGTGCACGTCGCCCGAAGCAATCTCGGAGCTGCTAGTGCTGTCAGCATTCTGGATTACGCACACTACGGTACTGGTGAAGCAGCCACTTTCAACGATCCTGAGACTCCAGAGCATATTCCATATGTCCCGAAGAAGCTTCCTTCGATCATTCAAATGCTGGCAAAGCCCTGGAACACCATCTACTACGCTTTCGCTTCAGTTGTCAAGTTCATTGTGGTTGCTCTCGTCGCCGATCCCGAATTCCAGCGAGAATTCGATCATGTTATCGGGCAACACCATGCCATTATCCGCGTACCGGCTACCCTGGCATTGAGCTTGCTCTGGTCTTATTCAAGAATTATGCAGAATATCGGTCTCTCCTTCTTTTTGTTCCATGGTCGTGATAATGTGAAGCAGCTCTGGAATGAGGCCAAGGGAATGACCATCAGCATCCAAAAGAGCAGGTTCATCATTCAAAGTCTGGATGGCACATTCACTGCCTTCAAGCATGATGAAACGGATGGAGGCTTCAAAATCTATTACTACTCCGGCCAGCACAAGACAGAGCCTGAAGGCACAAAGAGTCTCAGCTACGTCTGTGTTTACTCCAAGGATGTGCTGCTTATGGTCCGCCAGGAGTTCAAGGGTGGAAAGCTGCTCAACGAGTACCATTACGACTACCGCGCCCCGACCAAGAAGGCCTTTGGCTTATCCAAGTCGTCCCAAGCAAGAATCCCAATGGGCCGGCGTTGTGTCCGCGGAGACAACCATTTGCAGAGTGTGCAGTACAACCGGAAGGGACTCATCGAGGCAGGATCTTACA